TTCTGGTGAATGCTGTTAATTCAATACCAGTAGCTGGTACTGGGAGGACAGGATGAGATAAAGCTAAAGGCAGGGAAAGATAATCAAATCCAAAAGTATGTCCCTATAAATCAGTCATCCGGTTATGGAAACGATTCCCAAGCTTTACTAGTTCCAGCAAGTTCACAAAGCCAGTAAACACCAACCTGGTCTAACTGGATTAGTTGATTCATATCATTAATTACCAATGAAGTCATGGTAATAATTTAAATTTAATATATTATCAGTTACTTACAGTTCATAAAGCTAAGTCATGTGAATATTTAATACCCTCACACCAACGCTAACATTTCTGCTCCCAAAACTGTTCCACATGAAACGTACAATGTTACAGCACTGTCTAGAAACTAGTGCTACTCAGGGAGTGTTTAATAGCGTTATGGAAACATACATACTCAGCGGGGTGGGGGGTTGTCAGTTCATCACCTTTCAAAATGGCCAAAGAGGGACGTAGGCTTTGTTTACGATTTGTGAGCCCGCGGGTGTGCAGAGTCTGTGCTAGCTAACGCTGCAGCACTGGCATTTGGAATTCAACCGCAGGCACACAGCAGCGTTTTGTTAAGATCCTAAGCCCTAGAAGACGGCTAGAGTCTAATGTTGAGTTAACAATGCTAATGGTGAGTTGGAAGCAAACAGTTGGCTCTAAAAAAATCTCAAGCTACTTTTTCAAGTACCAGCAACTTGATATTACAGCGAAATGTATTTATCTACTTATTAATTTACTTTGCGTGACTTGTCTTTGCTCGCTACCTAGAAGTGCTGATTCGTAGCTGGCAACAGCCACGAAACTCCCGAATCAGGAGTAAAAAAGTCACTCGTGTGTTTAGAGAATGGGCTGCAGTACCCAAATCTTACCACAGGATGTCATGCTGACTTCATTCTTGCATAATGTGTTCACCATGCTGTACACAGTCAGGATAGTGGACTAAATTAAAGTAGATGGTCTGACTGTAATGAGGGTGTTGAAGTAGGAGTCAGCTGAAGTACTTCAGGCATCTGATTAGGGCACCTCATGGTTTTCTAAGCCACACTGGGAAGAGAGCCCATGGTAAACCCACAACTCGGGCCAGGGAGCTCCTCCAGGAGGAGCTGGAGGGTCAGGTTCGAGTTTCCGTCTTGCTACATCCACGCTCTGACGTTTAATAATGAATGGGAAAGGGATGAATACGTGGTTGGGCTTTGGTTTGTACGTTCTCTGATAAAACAGGAAACAAACATAGTTATAATTTAAACATTATAGCTTAAACCAAAGATTAGAATGGGACTATAAAGGAAAAATGCATGGCAATAAAAACAATACATATTGATTGATATCAAAAATTATTGTTAACTTTACAAAAATGTAGATAATTATTTTAAGTGCAGCTCTGGCCATTTGACAACATCACTTTTTGGTAAAACAAGTTGGTTGTGTTACCTTACTTGGTTTTATTGACACTTTACGAAAGACTGTTATTTGTTTGTTTTTAATCAATTTTCTAAAAGTCCAAATATTGCCGTGCTGATGAACTACTCTAATCTTTTTTTCTGGCCAGTTTCCTCCGGCTCTCCTTGCTGTTTGCAGTCTTGTCGGTATGTGAAACAAAACCAGAAATACTAATATGTCACACGTCTGGTGCCTCGTCACTTCTGCTTTTGTTACGTTTTAGTTGGCCGTTCTGTGTTTTACCCCCTAATAAAACACGACAGGGCATTTCTGTGGATGCTTCTTTACCCAGGTCACCTTTAACCTTGGAGCTGAGAAATATGGTCCTCTTTTCTTTAACAGAGACCCTCCTTTGTCCCTCCTGCTGTTTTTACATCTGAGCTCCTTTAACGCAGACACAAAAGGAACCGTAAAAGCAGAGCCATTTGCTTTGGAATGAGACCAGGACTTGAGAGATCTATAAAAAGCTTTGAGCTGTGTGTAGGTTTGGCTGAAGATCCCATCAGATATTCAGATTAGAATAGTTTTATTACCCACGAAGATCTTTCTTTGTGTGGACGATGGCTGGTCCGTTACCAACAAAACAGTCTCCGATGAAAGAACATACTGTTCGAATTCTGCAAGAGCAACACAGTAATGATAGAGAAGCCTTCGTGTTAAAATGTTAAATAAAAACTTAAACGTGCAAATTTATGTCGCATAATATCAGAAGCATTTGTTTATTCTGCAGGTTTCGTTTTGTGAGGAAACCCTTCAGGCTTGTTCAATCCAACAAAATAAACGTTGACATGACATTTACGTCCTCTTTGTTTGACACCGGAGACCGTGAGTTCACGGAGCTCAAACAAGTGCACTGTGACGTTAGCTGGTTTTGTCTGGCAGCTATTAAAGAATTCATTGTTGCTGCTTGAAAAGGATGCCGTTAAACTTCCTCAGCTGTTGAATTTTTATAATAAACCTCAGCAAGGCACCATTTAGCAGAGGCGTGCAGCTAAATCTGCAGTTTTACCACCAAGAAGATAAGCTGGTCTCTTTTTACCATTCTAACTTAATTATGGAAGGCTCAGTCTGGTTTTAGAGCTTTAATACGAGATTAATTACAGTCGTTATAGTCAGAAAACAGCTAGAACATAAATCTCGCTAGTTTTTAGGTAGACATTTTATCTTTGGCTCTCTCCTATTTACAGGGTATCCGCGGGTCCTTTAAAAAGTCTTAAATTTGCTTTTCCAAATTTAAGGTCTTAAAAATCCTTAAAAATGACAAATAATCCTTAAATGCAGTTTCCAAAGGTCTTAAATTACCACAAAGACCCAATAAAAAAGATTCTTTAATTTCTATAAAATTTTCATGAATGTCTAGTTAGTGTTCAGCTTTTTTGTGTACGATGTTGGCGTAAACGGAACCGTACACATTCAGTTGGTTGTGAAAGGGGGCTATTTTTAGATGAGCACATTAGCTGGTTAAGCTAGTGGGCGCTTGTGCCATGTGGAAGTGCAAGTTTAATGGTAACGGGATGGCTAATCCCACGTTTGCGACGTGGTTAGCACCGTTTCCAGGCAATAGCTGGAAATTATAGCTTAAATTTGGTCAAAGTGGCCTTAAAAAAGGTCTTAAAAATTCTTAAATATGGCTCCCTTAAACCTGCAGATACCCTGTATTTAGCGTTGGTATGTTACTGGTTAATCAGCCAAAATGATAAAAATGTAGAAAAAATGCAATAAATCAATAGAAAACTCATTTATTTTTCACAAGACACGGCGATTGTGAGCTGAGGCAGCCTAGCGTTTTCTGACCTGCAGATTCCACTTATGTCTGACGTTCTGTTGGAGAACCATAACTAAATATCACACATAATCATTTCTGCAACTCGTTTTATTTCATCATTAATGGGTAAAGTCATTTGTGCATCACCCAAAAATTAAATACAACCCAACTTTTCTGACTTTACCATGTTCATGGAAAAGCTCCAAGTGCTGCAAACAAGTAAAAATTAAATCTCGTTTGCTTCATTTTTGTGAGTTGTCACAAATAACCGCCTTTAGGTGGTGAAAACTGAATCCTTGTTTACCGTTTCCCACCTGATGCTTACGGTAGATTATCTGTAAACGGAAAATCCTTCAGCTGACTCAAAATAATGAGTAAGAAATGTTTTGCCTGAATTCACAGCCCATTGCCCGTTTGATTTGATTTGCTCGTCCAGCTGCAGATGTGGATCTGGTTTGTTGGCTCAGCTGGCTGGAGAGTAAATTATTCTGGAGGCTGTCGAGGAGTTAATTCCATGATTCTGTGTTCAGTAAATGTCAGGAAAGTCGTGATCATGTGGCAGAGAATAGTAACGACTCCTCTGTAAATAAAAGTCGAGCTAGTATAAGGTAGCTAGTCTGTCACTGGGCTTCAGCTGTTGGAGATGGGGTAGTTTGTCTGGAAACATTTACGAGTGCTTCTCTCTGTGAGCTGCAGGGCCTCGCATCTGAGTCGCTGCACATTTGTGCATGTTCAGAAAATTTAAGAGACATTCAACCAGTGAAAGAGAGCGAGCCCACCTGGAGTCCTACTTGGTTTAGTTTCCACGAGTCCGAAGATGGGAGAAAACTGAGCCAACTTTGGGAAGGCTTGGTAGATTTAATGTGTGCTACTAGGGCTGGGCGATATGGCCTCAAATCTATATTGTGATATAATCTGAAGCATGTGCGGTAACGATATATATTGCGATTTAGTTTTTCCTCTGTTTATATATGTCAAAATGACATGCTTTTAAATATCCTCATGTGGCAAATATATGCCACTTGAGGCAAATAAACCTCCTCCTCCGCCATTCTGTTGCCCTAATGTCAGCAGGGTGCACATCTTAGTGACGTCTTGTGTTATCGCGACATCGCGGTATTGCGATATAGCCAAAAACTCTATCATTTCCCAATTTTATATAGTTTCTACCTTATATTGTTTATATTGCCCACCCCTATGTGCTACACATGATCATAAAGTTTCCATAGAAAACCATTTTTATTCACATTTGTCAGTGCATATGTCGTCAAGGTTGGGAAAGTACTGACCTAATTGTATTTCTCTGCTTGCTCCCAGGTGCAGAGACCCGAGCTGAGGACTCATCTGTTCAGTTACATCCTTAATCCTCGTCGGATCTTATTTGACCTTTGTTGCACTCCTCGTCGTCTCCTCCGTACCCCCTCCCTTTCCTCCTCTGTCTTAATCTTCCCTCCTCTCAGCCTCTGGTTTGTTACTCAGACCCTCTGATGGGAAGGCAACACCGTAGTTGGCAAATGATGAAACCTGTCTGCTTGCCAACTCCAGACAGAGGATAGAAGACACAAAAAAGACTCGTAAAGGGCGGAGCAACAGTGAGAGCGAGACGCCGAGGCAGAAGGAGCTCCAACAAAGCTGTGAGAAGCAACCGAAGCAACAAGATGCCTCAACAAACGAAGCACACACGGTCCACTTGAGTGTTGTGTGCCAGCAAGAGACTCCTCGCAAGTTCAGGAGTGTTTTTACTTTTTTAACTGAAGTAAACTGAAGCCTCCTGCTCAACACAAGTTGTGGAGACACTGTGGGGCTCCCCGTTAACATCCGCTATGTCTCAGTGAGAATAGTTAGTCATGCCAGCCAAGGGGAAGTACCTGCTAAACAACCAGGAGCAGAAAAATGAGGGACTGTACCGCAGATACGCCTGCATCAACCAGTATCAGCCACTGGTTTTCCTGCTGGGCCTCTCCATGCTCTTCTGTGGAATTCTCCTCATCCTCTTCTTCACCCTTGGACTGGTGAGTTCTCACGTCACATATGATGATGAGTGTTTTTAAATTCTGGGGATGGGAGGGAATGTGGGTATGCGGGGCCTTTTTAACTTGTTAAGCACTTTGAGTTACATTCATTGTATGATTAAGTGCTAAATAAATAAAGTTTGATTTGATTTGAACCGGAAGGTTGCAGGTTCGATCCCGGCTCCCACCACAGAATGCTGCTGTTGTGTCCTTGGGCAAGACACTTAACCGCCTTGCCTGCTGGTGGTGAACGGAGGGACCGGTGGCGCCTGTGTTCGGCAGCCCTCACCTCTGCCAGTGCACCCCAGGGCAGCTGTGGCTACCTCGTAGCTCATCACCACCAGTGTGTGATTGTGTGTGGGAACGAATGGGTGACTGCATGTATTATGGAGCGCTTTGGGGGGTTGTAGAACCCTAAGAAGGTGCTATACAAACACAGGCCTTTTACCATTTTAGTCCTTGCAAACGACTCTTGTGCAGAAAAAAGATGCAAATCTCTTAAAACTTTGAGGAATGTTGAGTTTAGAGATATTTTGGCTCTGCATAAAAACTTCAGCGAAAAAGAAAATGACACAAACCATCAGTGCAAACACAACAGAGCTTTCCTTTTTTTTTCGATTTACTAGTAATAAAAACCATTTTTGTCATTCAAGTTAAGATTAGCATAAATGAGGAAACTTTTTGTTATAAAAGTGCTGGCATGAGTGGTTTTATTTCATTCTTGTAAGTACATTTTATGTATATAGCACTTACCACAGACAGAATCACAAAGTGCTTCACATAGATCAAAACAAAATAAAACAAAGTCATTAAGTCAAAATGCTCTCAAAACAGAATTAGATTAACATCAGAAAAAAAAGTCATAAAATTATAACATTTCATAAACAGATGAAAGATTAAAAATTTGAGTTAAAAATAGGAAAACAAAAGATTTAGGTAAAAGCAACTTTAAATAAAGGGTCTTTAGCTGTTTTTAAAAGTGTCAACACTGTCTACGCTGCATAAGGATAAAGGAAGATCATTCCAGAGTCGGGGTGCAGCAGTGGAAGAAGCGATCACCTCGACTTTTATATCTGGTCTTTGGAACTTCTAGAAGGTTCTGGTGGGTGGACCTGAGGGCTCGGGTCGGAGCATGAGGCTTTAACAGTTCAGTAATATAGGGAGGAGCTTGACCATGTAGAGCCCTGAACGTTATAATCAGGATTCTAAAATAAACTCTAAAGTTAACGGGTAACCAGTGCAGAGACGTCAGAATAGGAGTGATGTGTGCTCTTCTGTTTGCTCCAGTTAGGAGCCTCGCTGCAGAGTTCTGGACCAACTGAAGGCAGTCAAGGGCTTTTTTGTTACAACATGTGAAGAGTGTGTTACAGTAATCTAGACGGGAGGAGATAGAGGCATGGAGAACCATTTCTAGTTCATGTTTTGATACCAACCTTCGTAGTTTGGAGATATTTCTTAAATGATAAAAACCGTTTCGGACCAATGTTTTTGAGTGACCTTCAAGAGACATTGATTGGTCAAAAATAACACCCAAATTCCTTAAGTTTGTCTTGACGGCAGAAGATAAATGACCAAGTTTTAGACTAATCAGGGTAGCAGAAGCTTCTGAAAATATCTGCCAAGTATAGACATTTTCTAAGAAAGCCTACCTTTTTGTAATAATCTGAATTTATAAACGAGTGGAAACAGAGTCAGCATTCATGCATTTTGCTTTCTGCTGAAGTAACAGAGGCTTCATCAGTAGTTGGTTTGCATAAGCATTAAGATCCTCGTTCCCATTTAAATAAGAATCAAGATACTCAAGATAAGAAAACATAATTTAGATCAGTTCAACTGGGATGTTTCATTTTAGAAAAGGGACAGAATTAGCTGTACTTTTGAAAATATCCACCATTTCTGGGTTATTTTGTAAAACGTAGGTAACTATTATTTATTACTTGTCTTATCAACAGATTTCTTGGATAGCACAACTTTTTCTAAGCACAGTTTAGGGTTTTGCACCCCCCTCTCATTCTGCCAACCAAACATTGAAAAGAAGTGATCAGATCATTGTTCTAACAAAAATAGGGCAGGTGTGTCAGGAAATGTCAAAAGAAGTCTAATTAATTGTATCTTAGTGCCGCATGTGAGGGCTCATTGGATCTGCTAAAAAACGGTTAAAAGAACATTTGTTACCATTTAAAGGTCTAACGTTCCAGGTAGATCATCTCAACCATTGCTCCGCATGACTGTCAATCATTCTGGCGAACCATTCACGCAAGGCCATCGTCATACGTGCTCGTTGCTGGGTAGTTTTCACTTTCGGCTCATGCGCATTCTGTTTATTTGTAGAGCGATGTCTAGCGATGGGTACCGAATTCTGTACTTTTTAAGGTACCGACCAAATTTCATATGACCGACTGAGCACCGATTCACGTAATTTGAAACGGTGCCTCGTTTCGGTACCCGTCCTTCATAACGAGAACTTGCCTAGACAGCTGCGCATGCTCAAGAGCGTTATGTCGTCGGTCGCTGTGAGCGAGTTGTAAACAGAGCAGCATGGTAGAAAGAACGCACGCTAAAGCTTGGGTCCACTTCACTGAATGTGATGGGTAACTGGGTGATGATGAAACCAGCGACAACGATCTAAGTGAGACATCCTCATCTTGATCTGCTCCGGTAGGCAAATATAATGTTTAAGATAACGTTAGCTTGATATGTTAGCTTCCGTTTCGCTAATGGTGCGTTCGCTTTCTCCTCGGAACTCCGAATTTCCGACTAGAAGAACATGAACGCGCTCTAAAGTTTGGCTTCACTTTACTAAATGCGACGGGTGATTGGGTGAAGATGAAACCAGCGACAACGATCTAAGTGTGAGGCATCATTGTTTTAATCTGCTCCAGCAGCTAAATAAACTGTTTAAGATAACGTTAGCTTGATATTTTAGCTTCCATTGCCACCATTGTTATCATCTAATGGTGCGTTCGCTTTCTCCTCGGAAATTCTAACTTCCCAGTAGGAAAACTCAAACGAAAAAAGACGGCAAAAGGAATGAAGATACACAGTAAATGTAGTTCACAGTAAAGATGTTTGCTTCAGTTTAATTATCAGCTTATAAAACTACAAGGACGATGTTAAAATACAAACTGTTGTATGTTATTTATCGTGACATTTATCAAATATGGTTATATATTGAGAAAAATATATATATAATTATAAAAGAGAATTAAAATATTAAACACTCAAAAGTATCTAAAATTGGTACCGTAAAGTACCGGTATCGATTCCTAGGTACAGGGAATTGGTACCGAATCGATTCAAATGTCAAAGGTACCCATCCCTAGCGATAGCCGTCATTCCTCGCTGTTCTCTTCGGGCTCTTTTGAAAATGGCTGTCTGCGATAAGAAGAGAAAGGCCTTCGAAGTGAGAAATTAGTACCAGAGTTATTTGGGAGACTCGTTTCAACGATGGCGTGTGCTGAAATCGAAGGTTGGGCTCCCCACAGACGCCTCTGTCGCTGGTTTTCTGCTCAACAGATGAGCCAAAGTTTGGCATGCTATTTGGGGAAATTAACATCATATTACTGGTAGAAGTGCTGCAAGGCCGGCAGCTACTTGTAAACAGAGCGTGCACGAGGATAACTGGGCGTTCTCTCTAATGCGCATTATTTTCAAAACATGGGGAAGGCGGTTCTTTCCTGAAATTCATAAACATCCTCCACCATGCCTTTAAAATAAAAAATAAAAAACCTTGAATGGTTTAACACAGAAGTCTTAGGGATGATTGTCCCGGAGCTCACCAACATTTTAATTCTCTCACTGCTCTTCTTGTTGTAAACGATTCCCAGCTACTACCACAGCAGCGCAGTCGTTGTAAAATTGACTGGGTTATGACCGTTTCTCATTTTATAAGGCTACTTGATGTTGGCGGCCATATTGAATCGAGTTGGCTCGTAAAGTGCATCATTAAGTGATGGGCGTCCGGTGTTTACTTTCGGAGGCTTTCATCATTGTATCTAGAGGAGATATTTTAAAAACAGCTGATGAGAAAACGTGAAACGTGTCATTCTCAGAGTAAAAGGTGTAGGTGGTGTTTTTGTGTAGTTTCATTGTACTCCGTCCTGTAGTTCGTGAGATATTTTGCAAATTACTGCTCACTAGAACCCCCTGATTTCCTTAAGATATTAATTCAGATGAGACTAAAGCCAAACCAGCAGTAAAAAAACTCAAAGTGACAAAATAATAATAATTTCTAAGGAAACACTAAGAAGAGCTGTCAGGCTAATCATGCTCCTGGAGCCTGTTGTTGGATTTGGGACGTTGACGAGCAGCAGCTGAGTGGAGCTCATCCCACTGACATCTTTTGTCATCTTAGATTATGTTACTTTCCTCTGATGGAAACCAGTTTAACCTTCCTTCTATTGTGTTGCTGCAGGCTTGCGGCACACTCCCTTTTTCTCCTGCTTTAATCCTGGACAATGGCTTCATTACACCCTTCCACACGTGCTAATTTCCTCTGCTGCTCATGCACACATGCTCCACTTCACTGTGTGTTTAGCCCGTGAAGACTTGCAGGCAACATGCTTGTATCAACACCATCCCTTAGTCCGTTTCCTGACCGTTTCGGGGTTCTTGTTTGATGTTCCTCCTACATCTACAGGAGCACCATCAGCATTTCCATGGGCACAGAGAAGCTGGGAGAAAATGTGGGAATGCTGCTCGTGTGTTGTGTTACGGGTAATAGAGCGGCACAAAGTTTTATAAAGGAAGTCGCTGTGTCCACAAATCTTTAACGTGCGTTTTTTTCCTCCGTTCTCGGCTCAAACAGAACATCCTTAGCCTTCCTCGCCTGAGTCATTTCTTTCAGTGAGGCATGTTTCTCTCTTTAACTTACAGTAAAATATTTCTCCATAGTCTGTTATGTAAAATAAAGATTAAAAAGTGGAAAATAAGAAAAAGAGAGAAAGTATTTGATGGTAAATAATAGCTGCGTGTTTGATTTTTCTCTCCTGCTTCCTTCTCTTTACCAAAAATAAAGGTTTCATTAAGACACGGGGAGCTGAAAGTGGTTTTGTTGAGATCTAGCCTTTTCCAGCGCTGCCATGGTAACCAGAAAGCTCGGCACACAATGCAGGATGGCCTTCTCCTGCTCAGAGATCTATTAGCACCGACTTTGTGCATGTGTGTCACTCTCCAGCGCTCTTTTAACCCTTCGCTTTCTCTCATGTTCACCCTCCCACTCCCAAACCTGCCTCCACTTACAGCGAGACACTTCCAGAGGAATGCTGAATGACCCCATTGATGCTTCTGCATCCAGAGGGCGTTATTCTCTCAACCATAATCACCGTCTTTCAAATGGACTCCTTTTTCTTTTACACATTTTATGAAATGCACAGATGTTTTTATCTTGTTCTTTATTCTCTGTGTGTCATTAAGATGTTGGATTTTGAAAAGGGAGCAAAATAAGTCCGATTTCCATGTGTAAAAATATAAATATTCCACTTTTATTGATGTAATGACGTTGTTTTTTTGTGGTTGCACACATCTAGCAGCCCTCACCTGTTAAAAGCAATCACATAATTATAAATATGAGCTTTTGTTGACACTCTGTGGATTATTAGCTCACACAGTGATTATAAAACAATATGACACACGTCAGACACAGGAAGCCTGCCCGAGGACCTTCACACAGCACTAAATTAAAGCTGGCTTTATAGCCGTGTGACTAATGCGGAGTTGTAAAACGTGTGTTTATGTTCCTGTGCATCGCTGCCCATGCAGAGCGCAGAGAAACACCGTTCCTTCGTGAGCGTGGTGAGCGGCAGCCTGTGTGTGTTCCTGGCCGTGTCGGTGCTGGTGTGCACAGAAGTCCTCGCGCAGCGATGGAGGCTTTTGCTCGGCCTGATCATCTGGGCCACGCATCTCACCTTGGGGTACACCTTCATCTTCAGCAGTTCCATCGTCTTGCCTTGGGATCAGGTAGGTCTTACTCAGCAGAGGTAAAATATCCGTGTCCTACAGGTGGTGCTCAAGTTTCCCTCTTTGTGTTACCAGGTGCCTTTCTTCCTCTTCATCATCTTCATCGTGTACACCATGCTGCCATTCCAGTTGAGGCACGCTTTGGTGCTGAATGCCATCACCTCTTTGTCTCACATAATGGTCCTCACGCTGCGTCTAACTCTTTACAGCGAGGATCTGAGCCCAACATCTAACCTTGCCAGACAGGTAAAAATGTTAGTGTCATCAATAATTTAGTCTCTGCGTTGCTGCTGTGTTGGTAGGTGTGTAGATGTAATTACTGACCATCGTATCAGACCACATTTTGGATTGTTTTATATCACTCTTCTAGAGGGTTTGTAGATGAGATTATACCTTAAAGGCCAAGTTCACTGAAACCACTTTTACTTGTTCCTTATGAAATCCGATCGGTCACTCCGAGTTTCACATGCAGGCTGAATGTGAAAATAGTCTCCTACACCTATCTCCTGCATTAGCTGCTGACAGAAAACAGACGGTGAAACTCTAGGATTAGAAAAGCCTGACAGATCTACGTCACACTGCCGCTTAACAGTCATGGATTCGCCCATCTTGGCTCAAACCGGGGAGGCTGTTGTTGGTTTGGCGTCCAGGAAACGGCAGAGAACGTCTCGACTAGTAAAAGCTAACCGTTACCATTAGCAACTCCACCGCACAGCAGAACTCCTCAAGGCTTGTGTTATTTATGGAGATAAAACGTCCAAGCTGCAGAGCAAAGAGAGTCAGTGGTAGAGCTGTGTCTCTGTTAGCCAATCAGAGGCAAGATGTCTGAATATCAGGAAATAAGACTCCAAATCCTGTCGTCTGAAGCTCCCCTCTGTTCCAGCTAACTTCTACCTCCTGAAACACGAGCACCAGAGTTTTTTCTCCACAGAGATCGACTCACAAGGCATTCATTTATCCTAGAGACCACTGCAGATGTGTTGAAAAAAAAAGAGTAAACTTGGTCTTTAACAACCTTAAAAACCACCAATAAAAACTGAAGACGTGCAGAATTCCCAGTGTCACCAACAAAAGCCAAAACAAATTAGTTTGGTAACCGAGTCATAAACACGAATCTCCTGCTGTTTTTCCCTGTAGCTGGTGTCCAATGCCGTGGTGTTTCTGTGTGGCAGTGCAGTGGGGGCCTTTCATAGGGTCCTCATGGAGAAAACGCTTCGACAGACCTTCCAGGATACCCTCAGGTGTCTGAGAATGAAGATGAAGCTCGAGATCGAAAAGAGACAACAGGTGAGTTAAAGACGACTTTAAATTTAAACGCTGTTATTTCCGAGTGTGTCTTATGTAAGCAGCCACTTTAATCTGCTTGTAAACGAGTCTTAAAGAGGCTCTCTGTGTGTCATCACTGCAGCACTGTGGTGGAAACGGCTTCACCACCACTATTCTCTCAGCACTTTGCATATTATGAAAATCCCTAATAAAAACTCTCCCTGCTGACTGAATATGAAAATGGCCCGACGGTAATGGTTATCGGCGTGTTGCGTTCATTCCATCGCCTGTTTGACTTCATCTCCGGATGTTTTCATACATCTGTCCCTCTCAAATAACATGTTCAGGGAAGCAGTTTGTATTTTGCATCCAAGTCAATTAGCATTGACTTCAGGGGTTTCTCAAAACAATGTTGTCATTTCTCTGCGTGAAAAACACAAACCAGTGGGAAGCTGCAGCATGGCTTAGCAGGACAGAAATGGTTTATAATTAGTCAAATGTTTGATTCTCCCTTTGGGATCGCTGCTCGGAAAGAGAGAGGCGTGGTTCGCAAAGTTTCCCAAAAACAGAACGCAAAAATAAAATCTATTTAAAAACTCATATTTATCAGAAAATGTGGTTGCAATTCAAACAAGTTTTTCTACGGTTTTCTTTATTAACGAGGTCTTTTATTTGATTTTAACAAAAAATTGCAGCATAATTTATAAACAAAGCAAAACAAACAATATAGAACACCCCCCCCACCCTCACCCTCACCCCCGCTACACTGGATCAAACTAAAAAAAAACAGTGGCACTAAATCAGAACACATACAGTCCAATCAATAGAGTAAAAGAAACAATCACAAAGAATTATGGAAAATTAGCCACAGACACCATTAAAATACAACATCAATGCCAACCGTACAACATTGGTTAATTGTGCCCCTCAATGTGATCCTGGGCTTCTCCAGGTGCATGTGGGACAAAGCCTCTGCACATCGGTGACCATATGCTGGCGGGTGAGAGTCTTTCCACCTGGACAGTGTAGTAGTTGGTAAATTGAGTGCTTAAGAGTTTAATATATTACCTTTACGTATGACCAATAAGCTGTGATACTCGATATAACTATAGAACATCAACCTGCTTGGTCTTTGGATGTTTAATCAGAAGATTCTTGGATTCTTTGTTTATTCAGGGATTGTAAACACTTCGTTTTGATTCAGGGAAAGAGTCAGGTTTATAAAAGTAAGAATTTATTTTCCAAACAATTAAAACATGACAAGTTAACTAATATTTACTGTGATGGATGAATCTAGATGGAGGAGATGTGTGGATATGATGTTATCAGAACTTTCGTATCGAGAAGAGCAGAGTTCTGGGTGTAAAAGGGAAAGAATTTGGTTTGTGTTAAACTATGAAGTTGGTTCTTATCAAAAAGGCATCAGACTCTGCGTGTCTACCTCACCCTTTGGAAGACCCTCTTCATGGATTCGAAGGTCAGAGAGGTTGGATGACCTCTGGCACCGAGGTTGTAGAATTCCGTAGCACCGACCCTTCAGTCCAGAGATGTTTTCCGCGTCACGGCGGGTGGATTGAACCGTTGCATCTAGGAGGACTCTTAAGGAGTCAGAACAATATCAGCTTTGTTCTGCAGGAACCGTTTGCTGTGTCAGCGGTAGGCAGTTTTTAGCAGGGTCTTCGCAGCTTGCCAAAAATGCTCAAGAGGTGTCGCTCCGGACGGCCGTTCCGAAGCGCTCTCTAGAACTGAATGCTGGATGACGGGAAGCTGGAATCCGACTCCAACTGCAACTGCTGAATCACCAGAGTCATTCTGTTTTATTATTCTCATGTTATGAATTCTTGGCCAATCGGAATGTGCCATGTTAAGGGATATTACCAAGAAAACCTCAGACATCACGCCTTCTTAAGATACCGGATGCTCTGATCTGGGGTAAAGAAATGTCTGTGTGTCATGAGTTTACTTAACTTTAATTTGTCCTTGTCTGAGTGCGGCCTGGTCATATCAAACATTACTGATTACTATATGTGTGTATATATATATATATATATATATATATATATATATATATACACACATCACTCAATGTAATATTTCACAGATCAATCAACCTTATTGATTTAAGCACAGATTAATAAAACATTATTATTATCCATATCGCATTTGTTGATTTCATTTTATGAAAACGTGTTCACTTTATTGAGAGAGTGGGTACTCCTACGGAGTTATCAAGGAAGGCTTTGTTTAGGAACACAGGCTGACAAAGTGTTCCTCCTGAAATGTCGACAAGGTTGCTGTATCCGTCTGGGCTTCAGGAAGATAGAGTGTAAAAACCACCATAGAGGATCTGCAGATGACCGGTGGCATATAGGTCAATATGTAGGTGAAAACTGACCATTTCTGGACATTACAACAGTACAAGTCTTCTGGCCAGCAAACGGCTAAAGGCAATCATAGTTAGCTGTTCCTTAGCCAGACGACAAACAGTGTTTCTCAAAGCCAAGGAAGCTCGCCTTGATGTCTTGGCCCCTGTCCCGGTTGCCTAGGAGATACGTCATCAGGAACCTCTAAGACGTGTTCCAATGTTCATGTTCTACCGAGGCGTGTGTTCTCCGTTTGTTAGCCGTTAAGCTAGCTGAGCAAGGACGCGCGGGAGGTGTCTTGTAGCCTAGCCTTGGTCAAAAATTTCCCAGAATGCACCGGTGTATTTTCAAAAGGATGGCGGATCAGAAGCCGGCATTGGCTGAGGTAAATTTTAAGTTTAAATCAAGTCAGCTAGTTGTTGCTATCGGGCTGATATCTGAAATGTTTTTCTTTTCATATCCGAAGCAGTTATCAGTGGTTAGTTAGTTGTTCTGTAGTTAAAGCTTCGGTGGCTAGCAGGTGGAAACTTGCTTACATAGTTAATTTAATAAACATATACACAATTTGAAAAGTAAAAGGCTAGTTATATATTTATATTGAAACTAATACATATAAAATATAACGTTATCTCCTGTGTCACGTGATGTTATGTGACCGCCGTGGAAGCTGCGGACACGTGATGCAAGTCTGTTCCATTTAACCGTTTTCTTTGACCAAGGACGGACAGTGTCCTCGTAAGCAAGGCGACTGGCCTCGCAAGACATCGCCTCGCAAGGCCAGGTGCCTTGCCATTGAGAAACACCCAGAATCTCTGTGCATTGTTGACAATAACGTAGCTAATGACTCGATGTTTGCTACGTGCCTGTTGGAGAGCTCAGTGGGATCGGTCTATTTTCAGTTCTGACTCCAGATGCAGCGTTTCTTTCTACGTTTTAAGCCTGATTCATGCTTCTGCGTCAGAGCAGAGACACTCAACGCCATTATCCGTCCTTGTGGGCTCTAAAAACATGAACGTTTAATTCCCCGTGACTGGAGGAGTGAAAAGATGCGCAGCAAGCATTTTATTTGTTAACGGAAATGACAGGAAACGTGGGTTTAGAGGTGGCGAGCGCATGAAGAGGTGGAGGAGGATGAGAGACACATTTGTCCGTGTTAAAAAGTCTCTTATATACAAAAAAAAAAAAAAAAAAAACAATAGAAAAACAATATCTTGGACCGGATACATTACAGGATACCACAGAACAGTGCTACGCCCTCTGTTGTCCTGGTGGGGAATTGCTTTGCAACAGTCCCCAGGAGACGGACAAGTCTGAGGGCAAAACATCTCCGTCTATGCGTGCGTGTGTCCCTTTTGGAGCTGACGGAGAAGCACGAATCAGGCTTTAGCCACAGTTGTTGTCGAGCTGGACTCAGGCCCTCAGGAATTCCAAGAATCTGAATATTTCATCTTCTCAACCGACCTTCAGGTTCAAAAGATCCAATTTATCAGGTCTCGAACCACAACGAACGTCAGAAGTAAAGACGAAGCATTACACGATGAGTGCTAAACACGTTTCTACCTAAAATGCACTTTTAAAAGGACTTCTGGCCGGAAGCACCACCATATCTGTTAAACGCAAGCAGCCATCTTGGAAACTCAAAGTTTTTCTAGTTTATTCATTTTTGGGATGGGTGGATTATTTACTTGATGGATAAATTTTATTTATTATTAATTCATGCTTGTGCAGCCAGATGTTTCTGCTTTTAATAATGTGTTATTTATTTTTTAAGCGTTTGAGTTTTCTAAATGTTGTTTGAGTAAATGTTTAGGTTGAGCTGTTGTGTCCTACTTTTGTCAGATAACTGTCAATACAGGAAATCTGTGTTTTATATTGGAATTCGGTTGGCCTGATTTCTAAAAACACAATCAGTGATGTGCTGTTGAGCTGTGGTGCCCTCATGGAGGGGGCCGTCAGCTAGCACACTGCTGCTAACCGCTTGAATATCGTGACGTGTGTGTGTGTGTGTGCTCTGTCTTCTCCATCCCCAGTGAGTCATGGTGGATGGCTGCTTATACTGAGCCAGGATTCTCTGGAGGTTTCTTCCTGTTAAAAGGGAGTTTTCCTGTCCACTGTCGCTGCATGCTTGCTTAGTATGAGGATTGCTGTAAAGACTCTGACACTAGTCAGTGACTCGATGCAACCTGCTGGGTTCCTTAAGGAAACTTTTTACTGATAGGCTTAATGAACTGACCTGTATTGGAATGTTTACTGTGTGAAGGTCCTTGAGACGACTCTTGTCGTGATTTGGTGCTTTATAAATAAACTTGAATTGAACTGAATTGAATCTTTGGAAAAGGAAAAGTAAAATGGCGGGCATTTGTCAAGGAGAATTTTTAAGAAACCATTTTTTAGAATATTTTAGTTATTTTTGTGTTACCTGAAGTTTTTACATCATGAAAGCCTGGATTTGTCCGACGCTGAAGCTTTTCTGGTGCCGAAAAAGACAAAAAATTTGATTTAAACTAATAATGTCAGTGGTGATGGCAGTTTTTTCTTTTATCATATTTACTCTGAAATGGCGCAAGATAGATTACTATCCAGGCTTTAAACAGAGATTACTATGTTGGTATTTATCCATTTCCAGGAGGAATCTTGTGTGAAACGTGATGAAAACCTATCAACAATGGGAGAACTACACTCTCCTCTCCTCCTTCCACTGCTGCAGCATCATCTGATCTCATTTCCTGTGGTAGAGTAACACGTTTCCTACGTGTGTGTGTTTGCAGGAAAACCTGTTGCAGTCTGTGCTCCCTGTTTATATCTCCATGAAGATGAAATTGGCAATAATGGAACGCCTGCAGGACTGTAAAGATAAAGAGGAGCGACAGCGACTGGTCAAAGATAACAACTTCCACAGCCTGTATGTCAAGAGGCACGAGAATGTCAGGTACAACCACAGTCATCCTCAAGTACTTTTACAAAACCATGGCCCAGGTGACAGTCAGGTTCAAAATGACTTTATCATGATTTTTAATGAGCTTTAATGAGCTTCTAAAACAATTCAAATAATCTTAAACTGCTCAGACAGGGTACCAGTCAGTGGCGGACTGGTAATCAGGAGAGAGGGGAGACTTCCCAGTGGCCTGGCCGTTAATCTGGCCCGCTCAGATTAACCCGCTCATGACGTGCATGATATCTAAATTAACAATCCCTCATGCAGCTCATCAGGGCATCTGCTCTGCTGACGCTCACACAAACGGAGTAAACTGGGCACAAAGACACGCCTCCTCTGTCGTGGTCTGGCAACGCGCTGCAGAGACTCTCGGAACACGCTACTGTTCATTTGGCCCCTGTGGCAAAATGGACCGAGGTGGACCAGAAAAGGAGGGATTGAAAAGAAGAAAGCTCTGGCCACAGATGCATGTTCAGTCTGGCCTGTCTGTGATCAGGTTAGGAGAACCGGTTTAAGGTGGAGTTTTTGGGCCAGCTGAATTATGTTGCGATATGTTGCCATATCGATATTTTCTTACATCCCTAGCTCAGAAGCAGCACAGCATCAGGTGACCTCATTGATGACTTTCCCTCCAGATAAGAGATGTGTGGATCTGCAAACTGGATCTGGTTTATCCCTTAAGGTCCACGTGGCACGGGTGAGGAGTGAGCACCACCTCACCCCTGCCACGTGGACCTCAAGGGATAAACCATCAATCCTGCTCAGTGGTCAACTTTCCTGGTGAGGTCACCCATGAAGACTGTGGGAAGGTTATAAATAATTCTTATGAGGTTGCTACATTAAACAAAACCTACATTAATTCATTCATTAGAGAATTTAAAGGGACATTTTGCAACATTTTCATATTTTTAAATCCTTTTCTTGAGCCAGTATGTGCTAAAATGACGCTTTACAGGGTTAATGAAAGGCCACCCTGTCCCAGTGGCCAGAATGTCCCACTTGCAACTTCAGAGTGGCGGGCCGCTTTGCTGGGACTTCGAAGAAATAGAACTTTAGATCATGAACACAGCAGCTTTATTTAATTTAGTGATTCATCACTGCTGTAGACTCTAAGGAAGGCTGGGAGACATTTCGGCTGTTAGATTAAAGGGTAAAAAGCAAAGTTTTCACTTCTACAAACGGACACTAGGGGTGCTAAAAGCAAGCCAAAACTGCCTAGTTCCCCTTTTAAAAGTAAAACTCATCTTAAACATAGAAAACATTCAATGAAACCAGCAACAAAACAAAATAAATGATAAATAGATTAAAAGTGTCCAAAGGTGTGGGAAACTTGTTTAATCAATACATTTGCAGCGATCTCTGTTAGTAATGCTGCCTTGCAAGCCTTACTCAGGACTCTACTCACTTTTCAGGGAACTACACCTTTAACTCATTCACTGTCAGCCGTTTCCTGATCAGAAAAGCCCTTCGCTGCCAGCATTTTTCAGTGTTTTCACAGTTTTTTTTAAGAGTGACAGACCGTTGCGCGCTAGGATGATGTCGACGCCAAAACAACCAAAACAAAGCGGAGACTCACCTTTCAGGAAGAATCCGCGAGTTTCGAGCGTTATCCGTTCTTTCATAATCCGTTGTTGAATTGAGATCGGCAGAAGCTTTTCCAGTTCGCGCCTCACTTTTTTTACAGCAGCGGCCCAAATCGATCTCCTAACACATGGATGTTCTGCTTCCTGATCACGTGACGTGTGACATATGCAGATGAATTCAGCGCTTTGGCCTCCCGTAATGGGTGAGGAAGGAGCTATATAAATAAAGCCTTGATTGATCGACGATTGATTGATTGATTGATTGATTGATTGAAGATCGGCTTAAGAGCTGATATGTTTGTTCTCACGGTGCGAGGGCTCGTTCCAACGCCCACAAAGTAAAAAAAAATGCAAATGACGACTTTGGTCGTCATTGGCAGTGAACGAGTTAAATGGTAATTGGCCTGCATTTGATATAGCGCCTTCCACAGTCCTGGAACCCCCCAAGGCGCTTTACAACACAATCAGTCATTCACCCATTCACACACACATTCACACGCTGGTGGGGATGAGCTTCGATGTAGCCACAGCTGCCCTGGGGTGCACTGACAGAGGCGAGGCTGCCGTACACAGGCGCCACCGGTCCCTCCGACCACCACCAGCAGGCAAGGTGGGTTAAGTGTCTTGCCCAAGAACGCAACGACAGCGACAGACTGAGCAGGGCTCGAACCTGCAACCTTCCGATTACGAGGTGAACACAACTCCTGTGCCACCGTCACCCGTTAAGGAAAGGTCTAGCTGATATGCTGCTTTTTCTGTTGTAAAGGGACAAAAACTAATAAAAATATAAAAAGATTTTGACCCAATGTTCCAGGTTTCCTTTTATCTCTTTATTAGTTTTTTCATCCTTTCTTTATATTTAACCAAATTAATCAATTTAAAGGAAACTGGATTCTGTGAAAGGTTTTGTTATATAAAGAGCAAAGGTAATACAACATCTCTTTGTCTAATTCTCGTCATCCTTAGGACAAATGTCTGCTGATGAAGCAGCTGGTTTCTCTCATTTACTCAGTGCTGACAGCTTTTTCTGGCAGCTTAAACTGAACTTGAGCCGGTGGCTCGCCGACAGATTTTACTGATAAAGGCAGACGGTTACAGTCCGCCGATTTACACAAAAAATACTCGGATTGTAATTGAAGTAAGCGTCGTTGCACCTGGATTATCAAGTCTTTATGGGTGGTGATATTTCTCACTTATGTAAAATAAAACAAAAACGTTCTAAGAGCAGCAGGTGAGACATCAGTTTCTCAGAGAAGCATCAGAATTAGTGTCTTTAATGCCAGAGGAAAAGGTGTCTGCTGATTTCCTGGCTGCGTAGCGGCTTCCCTGTAATTACCTCAGTCAGACAGGTGATTAGCGTGGACGGTCTCGAGGAGCACCTGGCTGTGGAGCACGTGGCCCTTCTGGTTGGTTTCACTGGGATCGTTCCCAAAGCGCTCCAGTAATTGGCTCTTCTATGTGTTTTTTTTTTTTTTTACATAATCACTTTTGTCCCTCTGTGGCTTCGTTAATGAATTCCCTCCCAGCGCCGTCTTTGGGTCGGCTTTTCCTTTTAAATTCCAGCAGTTATTCCCTCTCCGATGCTCCGAGGAGAAGCTTTGTTGATGCTGTGATTCATCTCTGATCCAGACGGGCTTTTTAATGAGTCACTGATCGAACCATCTGGAGGTTCACAGGAGAAGGTGTTGTTCTCCGGCCACAACAGTCATCGAGGATCACGGACGTTTTAGTCGTTTATCTGAGGGAGACGAGGTTTATGGTTCTTCATGTTCTCCAGCTCTCTGCTACAGATGAACCTCAAAAAGGACAAAAACACAAGTTATGAGTTTAGGGTAAATCTTCCTTTTACAGTCCCCTATTCCGCTCTCCCCACCTATTCCACCTTCCTCAGGATCCACTGATTTCCCTCTTTCCTGTTTACTCTCTCTCTTTTCTTTACATTTTTGTAATCACAATTGTCTATTTTTGCTCATTTTAAATATATTAAACATTTTCTAAATTCTTTTTTATATTTTTACACTTTTTGCTTTTGTGAAGCACCTCGTGATTTTTATCTTGAGACGCTATAGAAATGACCTTTTCTTCTTGAGTCATCCAATTTTCATTTTCTGTTTAATTCTTGGTAAATGTTCTGTTCTGAGGGACCTTCAAGGGAACTTCTTTGTGCAGAAGCCAAGGGATTTGTGCGTGCACATGCATGGGTTGGATTTGTAGAACATGAGTTTGTGAACAAAAACAAAAAGAAACAAGAAGTGTGATTTATTCATGTTTGTGGCGATGGGGTGAGAAAATGTGTAAAATAGCCGAGGTCTCATGGGGCTGCAACCATGGGACATGTTGAATTTAAAACTACAAATACTCTAAATGTCATTTGTATTATGAGTTGGAGATCTAGCAGGTCAGAAACTTGGAAGAGTAGCTTTACATAAGCATGAATTAAGGATAGCTCAAATAACCTCGACCACAAATGTGTTATATTTTAACATTCTGAAAGAAAAGTAGCTGAAGAGTTTGATGTATAATATGTGGTTTGTAAACGTTTGGTCATTAAGTGTAAAAACCGATACCATATGTTCGGCACCAATTACTAAGTACTTACATGGTAATTGCATAGTAAGTTAAAGTGTGTTATTGTTTCTGGGTTCTTAGAGTTATTACCATGTAACTAAGGTTCAAATCTAGTTTTTATTTGTATTAATCATTCCCAGTAAATACTGCTTTACACAATAATTACACTTTGTTACAATTATAGACTTTAATTACACGATAATACACTTTAACTTACTATGTTATTACTATGTAAGTAGTACTTAGTAATTAGGGGACTGTAAAAGGAAGCGTTACCGAGTTTAGATCTTAGTTAGTGGTTTTATTTAAAATGACATCAGTTTAAGAGTTTAACCAGTCATGCTGAATTTTGACCGATTCCAGATGATTTTATGCATCTCCAGCTGATCAGTGGCACCAGTTAAAGTGTTGTTTTAAAACAACTCCAGTATAAAATCATTCACTGCAAATCCTATTTAATAAACATTCACATCAGTGTCAATATTACACACTTAATTACATAGAAAGTTGTTGTTTCGTTGCAGCAGAAATTAGCAGTAGAGCTAGCCATCGATGGCACTTCCACTGGGGACTTCGTGACTGACCTAGTCCTCATGCTTCCCATAATGCGCCGCAGGAATAACCACATTTTTAGAGGTGCAGACAAAGGAAAATAAAAATTGTATGTCTGAGAAATGTCTTAAAAAGTCTTGATTAGGATCATTTGATAAATGAAATGTAAATTAAGAAGTACAGTGGTAAACTGCAATGCTAATCTAAAGTGTGAATTATGTAAGAAATTATAAATTACTTAACTGTATTTGTAAATAATCTGAATTAGCTGGTTCTATATATTTTAGTTTTGCACTAAAACAGCTGATTTATCTGGTAAAGACTGATAAATGGTTGAAAGCAGCTGTTCTGGAGCAGAGAAACATCTAAAACATGCTCACATGAACGTTTGTGTTGGGTAGAGCTCTGTTTCATTGTTATTCTTGGTTTTGGTTTTCTTGCAGTATTCTGTATGCAGACATTGTTGGCTTCACCCGTTTGGCCAGTGACTGCTCCCCCAAGGAGCTCGTCATTATGCTCAACGAGTTGTTTGGCAAGTTTGACCAAATCGCCAAGGTGAGCGTCCTCTTATACAGTTTAGTAAATCAGGTAATTAAATACCACAGTTATAGTTATAATCTAAGCATTATTCTAGTCAGGGTTGTTAGTGCTCCAGTTCCAGAACAAAACCTGGTTCTGACAAGTCACAAAGGAACTCTAAAGGTGCTCTTCATGCAGGAAAGTGTTTGTTATGAGTGCTATTCTTCATTCTTTACAGGAAAATGAGTGCATGAGAATTAAGATCCTGGGGGACTGCTACTACTGCGTCTCCGGGCTGCCGGTCTCGCTGCCTAAACACGCCAAGAACTGCGTTAAAATGGGACTGGACATGTGTGAAGCCATCAAGTGAGTGGCACCATGAGTGACCGGATCATCTCATCGGTTCTTAACCTGAGATGATTTCATAATAAAACTCGTGACAGGTGGTTGGAGGCGTGCCGTCCTTATATTCCTGATGCTGAAACCATTTTTTACAGGCAGGTACGGGACGCCACAGGTGTCGATATCAACATGAGAGTGGGCGTTCACTCAGGCAATGTTCTCTGTGGCGTGATCGGCCTTCGGAAGTGGCAGTTTGATGTCTGGTCACATGACGTCACTCTGGCCAATCACATGGAGTCGGGAGGTGTTCCGGGGTAAGCAGGAGAACTCATTAACCCAAGGTTCACGCAACACAACTTCCGCCTCCATGAGAACCATTTCTGTCTACTTTGGAAGTCAGGACTCCTATCAGGGAATGCCAGAGGAGTTCCAGTTGGATATTCAGAGCTAATTGTTCTGAGCAGTGGTTGAACATTAAATAACAAATAGTTTATTAATGCAGCTGCAACATCTGTTCTTGCACAAGGCAGCCATATTGGATCACAAGGTTGGTGTTGGTCAGAAATCTCGGAGACAAAATCCCAACTTTGGAAGCGTTTAATTTGTTTTTCCTAACTTGGAAATTGCAAGATCCCAGTTCAAACAGAATACATCACTAGTTTAAAGTCTCATAGGTGATAAATGTCCTCCAGATCTGACCCCTTCTCGTGCAGACACAGCCACACTCGGGAACTATTTGGTGGTTTAACCCTCCAATCCAACCCCCTAAAGAGCATCTTTAATGTTCTTTAAAATGGTAGAAAAGCATAATCTAAGGTCAAAAGGTTACTTTGGGTATCTTTCCAGGTTTCAGATAATTAGCAGGTGTTAAAAATACTAAATCAAGGGAAGAGGGCATGCTTCCCTACAAAACGCACGGTTTTGGAGTCACGTGACTCATTGTATACCTCAAGGAAAACTCAGTGGTAGATGTGCTTGACCGGTTATTTTTAGTTGCTGAGGTAACACCGATTCAACTAGTTTAATGATGGTTAATGTTTGTGTGTGTTGGGGTTGTACAAACTCCCATTTGTCTGAACATTGTGTTCATCGATTTCCACAACAATATGAGAAGCACACATGGGCTGGGGCTTTCTATAGGCACTGCCGTAACTGCAGGCCGCCATGTTGAATGGGTCACTTGTCGCCCCCAGTGCAGTCATTGGTCTAGAAAAGTCAATAGTTATCCCACATAATCTGTTTACAATAGTACACCGGTTGTTGGAACCATAGACCGCACAGAAACGGGCAGAGTTGCTCACTCAGTGTTGATTCCGATTAGGTTTTGGAGTAAGGGACCCATCCAAAATGGCGGCAAGTGGTTACACTCCAGCGCTAAGCATCGCCTCTGCGTATTTCGTTTTCGTTTCATCTCTTTCCCACCTCGTGTGGCCACTAGCTGTTTGTTTCATAAAAGTAGTACATTTGTACTGATTTCAAACGTAAATTTCTTCTTCTAAAGTAGACCCGCTTTTTATTCTGATCGCTGTTGGACTACTTTCTTTTGAGTGTAAGTAGTAAAGTGGCTCTCACGTGATGTTTTTAGACCAATGCCGTGCTCGCATTTAGTAAACAGGAAACCAACATAGCAGTGTACTCGCTGTCAGAAAATACCAGCGATTAGGATTTAATTACTTTAGAAACTCATAGATTAGAAAACAAAAATTATTTTTATGGAAACTTGTTAGATGTAATATGTCAGGAGACAAGTTTCTGTTGAAATATATTTAGATAAACAATATTTTTACCAGTTAGTGTTTCCATGCCTGTGTGTATTTTGGCGTTTAGATTAATTATCCCTGTTTAGCCTGCTCCCATCAACTCTTGCTGCTGGCTCAAAACCGTATGGCTGTGCACCTTCAGTATGTAACATAAATGTGTGTTTGGATTCACAATCTGGAGCTCCGTGCTGCTGCTGCAAATCCCTTTTTTTCTCGAGCAGAGTCAGGAACGATTTCCTTGAACTTCCGGTTCAGCAAGAGGCGCTGTTTTTAGACGGACGAGCTAGGAGAGCCTAGTTGCAACAATAATAGCACATTTTTTTCTCAAATATCTTCCTTTTTTAAATGTAAAGTTTAGACCTGTTACAATATAAGGGCTTCCTCGTGTGTTTAACGTGGAAGGCGCCCCTAAAAGCTGAGTGTCAAGCAGGGAGGCGTTGGGTCCCATTTTTATAAAGTCTTTGGTTTGACCCGACCGGGATTTTGACTCCGATCTCCTGATCCGAGGGCGGATATTCCACCACCGGGCCACTGAGCTGGGTTCAAATGGATCATTTTACATTTACATCACATTTTACTGCTCTTTGGGTCAAGTTCTTATGACGAAAGAAATCCACTCACATTCAAAATGTTTCTACAAATATAACTTCTAATTATCTTAATAAATTATTGAAACCTAATAAAAATGTCCAGATTTAGCAGAATTATATTCAGTGTCTGGTTCAGCAGTTAAACTAAACAGCTGCTGATGAGGATCTTCTTCATATCTGAGACACAAATGAATTCAGTTAGACGAGGACTGGTGTCAAAGGTCACAACGAGGCATTTAGGATCTTCTAAACTCTGAAGGCCGTGATCATTAGAGGAAACTCTGAGCTGCGGATGGAAAACTCGTCACACTTTCTTCCCTTCTGAAACTGGACAAGATCCAGAAGCACCACCCACTGCAGCGCTTGAAATATTTGATGCAGGAGTCGGTTTGCTGAGGGGCTGCAGTTCTGTTCATGAAAGAGTGAAAGATGGTGGACATTATGGTATCATTCTCTTCCTCCCATCAGCCGCGTCCACATCACAGAGGCCACCCTCAAGCACCTGAACAAAGCTTATGAGGTGGAAGAAGGGAACGGCCACATCAGGGACCCGTACCTCAACGAACTCAACGTCCGCACGTATCTGGTGGTCGATCCCCGGGTGAGTTCTCAGTCCGCCTTTAGAGACGTCTCTCATCATAAAGTTATGTTTAAAGACATCTAGAAGCATGTTTCTGTGTAAAAACTATAAATAGTTGTTTCAGACAGCTCCCTGAACAGCATCAGTTCAGAGAAAACAGGACCACTGAGCTAACGGCTAGTCGGGTGCTATCATTTAAATGGCTTCAAACTTTTAGAAAGGTTTATGTGGCATTTTTACAATAAATCTCCAGGCTGTTCTTATTCAGAAGCAAAACCAACGCCAGCAGCAGTTAAAGCTACTGATTTAGTTCATCCAGAGATCAGATTTCTTCACATTTCCACCCAAATAATCATGTTACGTGAATTTTACCCGGGATAAAGGTTTAAACAATGGTTCAGGGGATTGGTGCCGTTTTGGCTAAACTCAGACTAGCAGTTAGCTCCTCAGTCCAAGGTCTTTCAAGATCTAATTTTACTATATGTACAGTTTTGACACGGACGCACTTAACACCCCCTAGAACATCAGACTCTGTTGATTAGTAGTTTTTCATTGGTGCATAGCCAGAGAGAGGACATTTTTGTTGACCAGGACCTAACATCATCCCCAGGGACTTGTGTAATTTAGGATTAACAGGGTATCTGCAGGTCCATAAAAATTCTTAAATTTGCTTTTCCAAATTTAAGGCCTTAAAAATCCTTAAAAATGACAAATAATCCTTAAATACAGTTTCCAAAGGTCTTAAATTACCAAAGACCCAATAAATTTATAAAATTTTCGTTAATTTCTAGTTGGTGTTCAGCATATTTTGTGTATGATATTGGTGTAAGCGGAACCGTACACATTCAGTTGCTCGTGAAAGGGGGCTATTTTTAGATGAGCACATTAGCTGGTTAAGCTAGTGGGAGCTTGCACCATTGGGAAGTGCAAGTTTAATGGTAATTGGATGGTTAATCCCAAGTCCGCGACGTGGTTAGCACCGGTTCCAGGCAAGAGCTGGAAATTATAGCTTAAATTTAATTTTTACAAATAGCTTAAATTTGGTCAAAGTGGCCTTAAAAAAGGTCTTAAAAAGTCTTAAATGTGGCTCCATTAAACCCGCAGATACCCTGATTAAAATGTTGAGGCTAAATAATTTGGTTTGTGTTCAAGTCCAAGGACCCGTCGCTGAGCACACGAAACGCAGCTAAACCCCGTGTGAACGACGGTCTGAAGATGAGGGCGTCTGTTCGAATGACTCGGTACCTGGAATCCTGGGGGGCCGTCAAACCTTTCGCCCACCTCCAGAACAGAGAGGGCTTCACATCAGAAAGCATCATTAGTGGAAAGACACGCTTCAAGGTAAACCAGCTGATCTGTAGTTGTTAGTTAATTAAACCAGCGTAGTTAATCCCGCCTCTCCCTCGTTCCCAGGACATTCCTCTGCGGTCACCTCCGAGTTCCAAGATCACAGACAGGTAAGAAAAGTCACCATAAATTCTTACGTTTGATAAGAACGTTTAAGAGTCTGTGTAGGTGAAGCATGTTTGGCCTTTTTAAGGTGAATTCCTGCCTAAAATGTGAGAATAACTAGGCCCGAGCAGCGAAAGCGCTGCGAAGGCCTATTTTATCTGCTCTGTTTATTTTTCTTCTGCCAAGTCTATTGGCTTTTTGGAGGCCTTAACATACCCGAAAACTCAGGCATTTTTGCACACATGTCAGGCGTGGTGTAAAATTTTGTATTTTAAAGGTCCCAAAAATATTGCAATAAAACTAGCTCCACAGCGCCCCCTAGAATGTGAAAAATACCCCCCTCCGTAAACCCTTTGTTTGCCATACAGTTATGAAATTTTGTACACTCAACAGTCCGTAGTAGTACTCAACAGTCCGCACAGAAAAGCCTCTTGCAATGAAGGTCAACATCAAACAGGAAGTCAGCCATTTTGGTTTGAAGTGGTGATTTTGACCCCGTTTTGGCCGTTTCTAGGGTCCGCCTCTGATTGATTTACTTGATCATTTTTCGCACGATCGTCTCGAAAGTTGTGGGAAATTGCTCAGAAGGGATGGGCGATCAAATAGAAAAAATAAAACTGACTTTTCGTATATGCTGAGGGGGCGTGGCCAGGCCTCGAAATTCGACTACTCGGCAAAAAAATATAAATGGCTATAACTTCGTACTCGAATAGAGTAGAGTTACAAAAATTTCTGTGGTCATGTGACATCCAGCCACAAACTAAACTAAATGTTGGAGGATGACATCACACAAGCCCCGCCTCCTCAGGACCAAAAAGGTCAAGTTTTACTTTGATAGGTCCCAAATCGCCTCATTTCACTTAATCACCACAATTTTGTAGCTGTTAACCCAAGACAAGTGGGGGTTGCTTGGCGTCACTTTATGGGAGTTTTCAAAAGAGGGTGGGGCTGTGGCGGCACAGCGAAGTTAGGCGTACCGCCGTGGCCATACGTTTGCCTCCAATTTCGTCATTTCTAAAGATATCGCCACAAAACTTCTGGTGAGTGATCCTAGTCCAGCCCCCCAAAAAATCTGATGTGAAAATCCGGTGGGCGTGGCCTATTTTCTTAAATAGCGCCCCCTAGGACCATTAAAACTGTCAGCCTCAAGCCATGTTTTGACTGAGGATTATGAAATTTGGTACACTAATGTAGTCTCTCAGGACCTACAAAAAAGTCTCTTGGAGTCAAGCGCAAAGTTGCACAGGAGGTCGGCCATTTTGGTCCAAGTGCTCGATTTCTCTAATTTCCCTCAGGGATTAATAATTCAATTAAGTTCAATTCAGTTTTATTTATATAGCGCCAAATCATGACAAGAGTCGTCTCAAGGCACTTTACATAATAAACATTCCAATCCAGGTCATGTCATTAAGCCAGTCCTATATAAGGAACCCAGCAAATTGCATCAAGTCACTGACCAGTGTCAGTGACTTTACAGCAGTCCTCATACTAAGCAAGCATGCAGCGACAGTGGAGAGGAAAACTCCCTTTTAACAGGAAGAAACCTCCAGAGGATCCTGGCTCGGTATAAGCAGCCATCCTCCACGACTCACTGGGAATGGAGAAGACCGCACACACACACACACACACACACACACACACACACACACACACACACACACACACACACACACACACCCCAAGCAATATGTCTATGGTTACATTGTGATTTCTTAATAAATATTCTATTTGGTGAGAGATAAACTTTATTGTATTTATCCTAGTGAATCTATAATTAAACGGATAAACTAGTATTATTAGCACATCCAAAAAGTTATCGGGGAGGGATAATGTTTAAGTGATTAGCAGCAGTGTGCTAGACATTGGCCCCCTCCATGAGGCCACCACAGCTCAGCAGAACATCGTTGTAGCTTCTTCTGAGGAGAAAAACACTTAGAAAAAAATAAAGTTAACAGCTGAAATAGCAGAAAATAATACAGTTAAAGAGCAGATTGTAGAAGAAAGTAGTAGAGTGTGAAAAGTGGGCAGTGTATCCTCCAGCTGTGTAAGCCTATAGTAGCATAACTACAGAGATAACTCTGGATAACCTAGCCTTTTTAGATGGAGGCATGTTGGAGGCAGGGCAAGGGAGAGCTGTCTTTACCGACTGTACACTCCACCTCCCTGTACTCCCCCACTTGTCCTGATTTAGGCTAACATCAGATTTTAACCATAGGCCCTATCAAATAAAAATGTTTTAAGCCTAGACTTAAAAGTAGACAAGGTGTCTGCCTCACGGACTAAAGCTGGGAGTTGGTTCCACAGGAGAGGAGCCTGATAGCTAAAAGATTTGCTTCCCATCCTATTTTTAGATATTCTGGGAACCACCAGTAAACCTGCAGTCTGAGAGCGAAGTGCTCGGTTAGGAACGTATGGTACAAACTGATGAATGATGGAGCTTGATTAGTAAGAGCTTTATATGTGAGAAGGAGGATCTTAAAATCTATTCTGAATTTAACATGCAGCCACTGTAGTGAAGCTAAGACAGGAGAGATATGATCTTTCTTTTGAATTCTCATCAGAACTCTAGCTGCAGCATTTTGGACAAGCTGAAGACTTTAACTACATTCTGTGGACTTCCTGAGAGTCATGAATTACAGTAATCCAGTCTTGATGTAATAAATGCATGAACTAGTTTTTCAGCATCACTCCTGGAAAGGATGCTTCTAATCTTAGCAATATTCCGAAGGTGGAAAAAGGAAATCCTACAAACCTGTTTAACTTGGGATTTGAATGACATGTTCTGGTCGAAGATAACACCAAGGCGCCTTACTTTTTCTGGGATTAATAAAGTATCTTTGATTGATTTTGATTGAGATTAATGTAATGCCATTCAGGTCAGTTGATTGACTATACAATTTCTTTTTCTGGATTTCTGGTCCAAAGATGAGAACTTCCGTCTTGTCTTGATTTAAAAGCAAAAAGTTTAGAGTCATCCAATTTTTTATGTCCTCAAGACAAGCCTGTAATCTACCCAACTGATTAGGTTCATCAGGGTAAATGGAAAAATATAACTGAGTATCGTCAGCATAACAGTGGAAGTTTATCCCATGCTGTCTACTGATTTTCCCAATTGGGAGCATATATATAGTAAAAAGAATTGGTCCAAGCACTGAACCCTGTGGTACTCCACAAGTAACCCTGGAGTATGAAGACGATTTGTCATGTACATTTACAAAATGAAATCTATCAGACAGGTAGGATTTAAACCAGCCTAACGCTGTTCCTTTGATCCCTACAACATGTTCAAGTCTTTCTACAAGAACATTGTGATCAACTGTGTCAAAGACAGCACTGAGATCTAACAAGACTAGAACAGACACAAGATTCTTATCTGAGGCCATGAGAATATCATTTGTAACTCTCACTAACGCAGTTTCAGTGCTGTGATACTCTCTAAAACCAGACTGAAATTCCTCAAACAGAGCATTAGTGTTTAAATGCTCACATACTTGGATGGCCACTATTTTCTCCAGGACTTTGGATAAAAATGGAAGGTTAGATATTGGTCTATAATTCATTGGGTCATCTGGATCCAGAGAAGGCTTCTTAAGTGAAGGTTTGATTACAGCAACCTTAAAATCCTGTGGTACATATCCATTTACTAAGGATAGATTGATTGTATCTAGAATGGGGGCAGTAACCAAAGGAAATGCATCTTTAAATAATTTGGTTGGGATTGGATCCAAAATGCAAGTGGAAGGTTTAGATGAAGCTAATATTTTTGATAACGCTGAAAGCTCAACTGGATCAAAACTGTTCAAACACAGATGAGGTTCTACAGTTACCTCTGATGCTGCCTCACTTACTGAGGAAGAAGAAATCGCATTAGGGAGAATGCTAAAGATTTTGTTTCTAATATAATTAATTTTACTTGTGAAAAATCCCATAAAGTCGTTGCTGCTGAGGGCTAAGGGAATAGATGGCTCAGAGCTATGATTCTGTGTAAGTTTGGCAACTGTACTGAAAAGAAATTTAGGATTATTTTTATTCTCATCAATTAACGCTGAGAAATAAGCAGTTCTAGTTTGTCGAAGCTTATTTTTATAAAGCACAAGCTAATTCTCAAACTTTGACCTGTCGCCACGCCACTCTTTTTTTCACAGCTCCCTATTGGACTCCTTTCAACCAATCACCAGCAATTGTTGGCAAATAGCAGTAGACAAGTTGAGGTCACTTGGTCTCCAGTACTGGCAGGTTTTGAAAAAAGGCGGGGCTTTGGGAGCATGGCGAAATTCGCCATCACGCCATGTAAATATGTTTGCCTCTCATTTCCTCAGTTTTCGTGATATCGCTACGAATTCTCTGGTGAGTGATCCTAGTCTGACCACCAATAGAAATGGATGTGATAGGTTTGTGACCGTGGCCTATTTTCTGAAATAGCGCCCCTAGGACTATTAAAACTGTCAGCCCCAAGCCGTGCTTTATCTGAGAACTATGAAATTTGGTACACTAATGGAGTGCCTTGGGGCCTACTAAAAAGTCTCCTGGGGCCAAGGTCAATGTCTAACAGGAAGTCGGCCATATTGGTCCAAGTACTCAATTTAGTGGTTTTCGCACACGTTTGGAGAGTGATGCCCCATCGCCCTTTTCACCAATCGCCTTCAAACTTCTGCTATATACTCTTAAGACATAGGGGGGGAAATTCAACTTTTGGATTTTTCTAAAGTTGAAAGGTGTGGGTGTGGCTAAGCCTCAAACTTTGACCTTTTGCCATTACATTACTTGACGTAATAACTCCCATGCGGATGATCAGATCTATATCAAACAATGTCTGTGTGATCACTGACCAAGGCCGGATTAACCATACGGGCAACTGGGCAATTGCCCAGGGCCCACAACTCTAAAGGGGCCAGGGCAGCAAGAGCACGAGCAAAACACTGTATCTGTAATCTCCCGCTTCATAATAAACTAGGGTGACCATACGTCCTCTTTTCCCCGGTCATGTCCACTTTTCACTCTCTGTCCGGGGGGGTTCTTGTATTGATGAAAATATCCGGTTTTTCATCCAGGAGCAGGGACCGAATTATGGGGGAGCTGTATATCCTACACATCCAGGGGAGCTGGAAAAAACGTTTTCTACCTATATGACATCATTCATGGACCCTTTTGAGCAGAGAGCACATCTAGCGATGATCGTTGGTGTGCAGTGCTCCAGGCAGCTGCGTCCAGCACACGGTCCATTCTCAAAGTGGCGCAACCAAAAAACTATAATTAACACACGATCGTTCATGTCCGCACATGTTCTCTACTTTCTGTCTTATTTGTGCCTGAAGCGCTCTGCTACTGCGGAGCTCATCACCTGTGCTGCGGTGATTTCACCTCACTGACGCAGCATCGAAACGCCTCTCCGCTTTGCGGTCAGGAGATCCCTTTGATCTGCTCAAAAATAACTGATGAGGTGAAAAAGTGAGAATCCAGGCAGCAGTTTTTCTGGAGAGTTTGGAGGAGATGCAGGAAGATGAGAGACAGACAGGACAGGAAAATAGTTCAATAAAAACAAGAAAACAAAACAAAGTGTTGAAAAGTAAAATGTAGGTAGATTTATCTCCACTACACGTTTTTACCTGTATAAAACAATAAGTTATACACATGTAATATTTATACATCTGATACAATTCAGATCACATTCAAAACTCAGTCACACACCCAGGGCCGTTTCAAGACATTTTGGGGGCCAAGGCAAAATGCCCCCTAGATACAATAAAACATTTGTAACTTCTACAAAAAAGCTCCAAACTATATCAAACATGGTGGGAGTCATCACGCAACTGCAATCAACACATGTATGTGCTCACTCGTTCAAATCACTTTAACTCCGCCCACTTACAGCTTTTTGTCTCTAGATGACCCATGCAACGTTTGATTGATGTCAAATTAACAGAAAACCATTGTTGATGACCAAAGATGACCTCTATGGCATTTAGTTGTAAATGGTCACAGCGCCCCCTAGATGGGTTCAAACTTTATTAACTTCTAAAGACAAGGCCAGAATGGCATTATACTTGGCTTGTGTCATCACGTGACTGCACCAAACACATTGATGTGGTTGTTGGTTCAAGCCCCTTTAGCTCCACCCCCTTTTGGTTCTCTGGCTCTAGATAACACACACAGTGTCTGATTGATGCCAAAATAACAGAGAACCATCTTTGTCAACCAAAGCTGACCTCAATGGGATTTTTCTGTAGTTGGTCACAGCGCCCCCTAGATAACTTTAACCTTCAATAACTTCAAAAAACGTGGTCAGAATAGCATTAAACTTGGTCTGTGTCATCACACCACCAGTGTGGTAAAGATAGAGTATCCCCTGTTGGTGAGATGTGTAATTTAATGGTGGGCTCAGAGGAGATGCTGAGTCAGGGTGAGGTGCAGATGAGGACACCGTTCGCGGTGTCTGAGGTCGCAGGGGGTCGACGTTTACGTTCTGCGGACGTGCCCGGTCTGCCGGCCGGGGCAGAGCTGCGAGGGCCGAACGACGCTGCTTGCAGCTTTAATTCCTTTTGTTACTCTTGATGGCTTCCTGTACAGCCGTTGTTCAGTGAAATGGTGTCATTTAGGATCAGTGAGCTAACAGCTAGTCCAAACAAGCTCGGGCCGTTGAGACGTTAGACCAATTGTTTATGTAAGAGGGTTATTTTAGTCTAGCTGATGGGACATCACATACTTCTTGGTCAAATCTGCCCACGCTCGTTCCAGGTATGCGTTATACACAAAGGCCAAACTCCATCTGCCACGTGTGATGCCAACGCGGTTGCAGTTCCGCCCTCATCCACTAGGGGCTGGCTCCAGAAAGGAACAAGTTCCCATTGACACCCATGTGAAAAATGCCAACTTCACAGCAGAAATAAACACGCTTTCAGCCTGGTCCTAGAAACCATTTTAGGTTTAATAGATCGAGTTTATCATCATGACAACTCTTGAGAGGGCAGAATTTTTTGTAACTCATCAGTTTAGATCTAATGAAAGCTTGATGAATACTTTTGACTGACGGGTAGCAGCTGAGCTGTCAATGCTAGCGTCTTTTCCTCCTGCTCGCTCCAGGGAAGACCTTAGCCCTGTCGGGTGTCAGTCATCTGCCCCCACTTTCACAGCCCTGTTTTTGTATTTATTTAGAGTGATGACGCATGATGCAGCCACGGTGGTTTTACATCATCAGAAAGCTAGGATATGATATATTCGACTGTAGCCGTAGACACAGGTAACACTTTTATCAAACCACTCACTAATTCAAAGTGATCCGAATTCTTATAGTTGTTCCAGAACAGTGTTTTACATCTTTTTACGTCCACAAGGGTCCAATTATTGTCCCTGAATAAAATAGTTTGTCCACAACATGTCTTCAGCTCACATCCCATCGCTGAAAACCATCTCAACTCCCTTCAGGTGCGTCTTTCTCATCATAACCTCTGTTAGCACCTCGTACAACGACCACGCCCACTAAAAGTCTCAACATCACCTGCTGAAATATGTCGTCCGTCGGCATTTGTTGGACTGACGAAGAGCGATTAGGCTTTAAGTCGACTTTAGGTCCAAACCATCAAACTCCAAAGGGTGCTGCTGTCTTTTTAAAACAGATTCAAAAGGAGGATTTTGTGCTGAAATAGTCATGTGATGCAAAAGTGACGGTGAAATTTAGAGGACCGGAGCTGTTAGACACTTTTCATCATGGATGCAGACAGAGACGCCAAAGTGTCCCCTGAAAATCTGAGGGTAGCACTGTGAGGCGAGAGTCGAAGGTTTCAGCAACACAGAGGTGGATCTCATTGACTAGATCTCCATGGTAACAGAGATTTAGCTAATGACCAGGTTTTGAGTTGAGATTTTGTAAAAGATGGAATTTGCTCTCCGGTTCTGTTCGATCCTGGAGCCGTCCAACGTTGTAGTGTAAAAGGTCAGAACACGTTTTTACTCTCTCAAAAACAACACAGGTGTGTAGCTGTCGGGTATTTGGTTGTGTCTGTTAGCTGCCATCTCATCTCTGGTGACACGCTGTGTGTTTTGTTTCACTATTGGACCCCGCCAGCTTTGACGAGTCTCTAGAAGAGCCGTTCTCCTTGTCCACACCTCCGCTCAGCAGCAATAAGTGAGTGGGACCTTTTAGGACCCCCAGGGTCCTCGTCCCTGTCAGAACAGTAGTTCTCAGCCTCCTCATGAGATGATCTAAATAGTCCAGTGGTTCAGAACAAGCACATGACATGACAAATTGATCCTCAGGATGAGAACTACTGTCTTGGTGGAGATCTCAGAACTAACCCGATCCTCCTGGTTTAACTGCTAACCCTTCGTAACGGGGCAGGACTTGATCTGAGTAGTGATGTAACCTCTGAGTAGTGGCTTGACTCATTCCTATTAACACTAATCACCATCTTGGGCTTTTCATCTGGGTCTGACAGACCCGCAAGGGATCATCTAACCCCGCCTCCACCTAACCCTCTCACAGGCACAAATCAAACTTCTCTTTCCTCACTAATACTCCCACCAGCTCCCGAGGCTGCCCGCAGACATGGCTGAAACAGACCCACATGAGTAGATCTGGTCTTCCAGCATCCGGATGCTGCTTCCTAATCGCATCTCTGCTCTCTGCTGCAGGATGAAATCCCAGAAGACCAAGTTTGACCAGGAGCTGCACGACGAGATGACCAGCACCATCGACGAGCTCAACAGCAAGTAGGTCCAGTTTGACAGGAGGCCTAACTCGTGGTGGAGAAAATTCCCTCTCACTGAGTTTATGGAATGTTTTAAAATCCCAACTTCCTGTCCAGAATGTTACGGAGTGGCTGCAGGTTAAAGCTCTGACCCAAACGTCCCGGAGCTTCAGACACAATCATTAAATGTACAAAATAAAACCACGTCGGTCTCCTAAAAGCAGTGTCCAGGTCCTGAAATACCAAACACACCGGAGATATTAATATCCCGGCGCTCCGTGCTGCAGCAGCTGGTCCCGTATTTGATTATAGGTCAGATCAGCTCCCGTGTTAATGTCCTTGGATGTGTCTGGGATAAATTTAGATCCTAGATTAGCTGATTTCTGCTGGATCAGATGTGCTGAAGCTAGATGCTAAAGCTAATTCTAATCCCAAATGAAGACGGCCGGTTTTACAGACGCTCAACCAGCTGACGGTCATTCCCGACACCAACAGATCATCAGTGGGATCGTGCATTACTTTTATTTTTCCTGCTTTTACCCAAACTGGTCATCACTCCAATTTATAAGCAGATTTGCTGAATAATCCCTTTGATTGGATAACATCTAGTTTGTTGTTGTTGTTCCTGCGGATGTGACAGCTGTTATTACGACCAGAATAGGGATGGGTACCTTTAACATTATTATAATTTTTTTTAACCTTTATTTAACCAGGATGGAGACCCATTGAGGTTAAGAACCTCTTTTACAAGGGTGTCCTGGCCAAGAGGCAGCAAAAATACAAACAGTTACAACACAATGGCAATGATAAAACACTCAATCATTAAAAGCAGTTACAAGTTACTAATGCAGTCTCGGAAGCTTTCAGTTTGGTTTTGAAGGCATTTAGTGAAACCTGCTCAGTCATTTTCCAGGTTTTCTGCAGCTGGTTCCAAGCAGAAGGAGCAGAGCAGGCGAAGGCTCTCTTTCCTAACTGTGTGCGAGCAAAAGGAACAGAAAGTAGCAACTGATCGTTGGACCTTAAAGAACGGGAATCAACATTTTTTCGTGTGATTAATGTGCAAATATAAGGAGGTAACATTCCAAACACTGCCTTGTAAATAAAAACTTACCAGTGATTTTGACATTTGAATTGATCCGGTACTAATTCCCGGTACCTACGAATCGATACCGGTACTTAACGGTACCAATTTTAGATACTTTTGAGTGTTTAATATTTTAATTCTCTTTTATAATAAAATACATATTTTTCTCAATATATAACAATATTTGATAAATATCACGATAAACAACATACAACTGTTTGTATTTTAACATCGTCCTTGTAGTTTTATAAGCTGATAATTAAACTGAAGCAAACATCTTTACTGTGAACTAAATTTACTGTGTATCTTCATTCCTTTTGCCGTCCTTTTTCATTTGATTTTTCCTACTGGGAAGCTAGAATTTCCGAGGAGAAAGTGAACGCACCATTAGCTGATAACAATGGTAGCAATGGAAGCCAACATATCAAGCTAACGTTATCTTAAACAGTTTATTTAGCTGCTGGAGCAGATTAAAACGATGATGCCTCACACTTAGATCGTTGTCGCTGGTTTCATCTTCACCCAATCACCCGTCGCATTTAGTAAAGTGAAGCCAAACTTTAGAGCGCGTTCATGTTCTTCTAGTCAGAAATTTGGAGTTCCGAGGTGAAAGCGAATGCACCATTAGCGAAACGGAAGCTAACATATCAAGCTAACGTTATCTTAAACATTTTATTTACCTACCGGAGCAGATTAAGATGAGGATGTCTCACTTAGATCGTTGTCGCTGGTTTCATCATCACCCAGTTACCCATCACATTTAGTGAAGTGGACCCAAGCTTTAGCGTGCGTTCTTTCTACCATGCTGCTCTGTTTACAGCTCACTCGCAGCGACCGACGACGTAACGCTCTTGCGCATGCGCAGCTGTCTAGGCAAGTTCTCGTTATGAAGGACGGGTACCGAAACGAGGCACCGTTTCAAATGACGTGAATCGGTGCTCAGTCGGTACTGTGGAATTCGGTCGGTACCCATCGCTAGATCAGAACAGTAAAACCACCTGGATGTGAAGCAGACAGCTGCAACTCTGTGGTTTAACAGCTAAATATGTGAGCTGAGGTCATTCGTGTGACATTAAAGAAAAGCACCTCCACATTCCTGCTGGTTCCAGAGCCGTCTGATGATTGGCTGTTGTATTCTGGTGGATTACACGCAGCCCCTTTAATTAATAAAATTAATAGAATCTTATAGCTGCAGGTATGTCGTCAGCCGCTCAGAAACGACCCGTGTAGTTCGTGTTGGCTCGCCGTCCTCTCGGAGATCTGGGTCTCTAGATCACATTTATGCACGATGAGCTGGTGAAACATGTCTTCCGATGGGAATATAAGCCTCATAAGGATGAAAAAAGATTCCCTCGGCTCAGATAAAGGCCGACGTTTTCCTTCTTATCTGGAGGTTTTTTACGCTGCATGTGGCCTTTGCTTTCCATAACCCTGTGCATCAGGTATGCACCGATATGAAATACCGGACTAATGTCTCGTGCTTCCCCGTTGTTCTTTTTCTTCACAGGCAGTGGTCGACCTCTGAGGAAAGTGGGAATTTCGCTTTGTGTTTTCCCAAAAAAGATCTGGAAAATCAGGTTGGTTTGACTCCTGAGAGGATGCTAAACATTCCCGATCCTGCTTGAGGCTGATGTTTGTTCTTCTCCTCCCAGTACCGATCCCTGGACCTGCCCATGTTCAAGCACTATGTGGGCTGTGCCACCTTCATCTTCTTCTGCATCTTTGTGGTTCAGCTGCTCGTCTCCAAAGAGTAGGTTTCACCGATGGCGTCCAGGACGAGTTTTATCCCAGAACAAATCCCTAAAAGCCACTCTGGTTTTGTTCCCACCAGCCGACAGAAGTTGGGGGTGATGTTTGGGGCGCTGGTTTGTGTGCTGCTGCTCACTCTGGCCATCTGTTTTGCAGGTCGCCTACAGGTCAGTAATCTTCATATTCAGTTATTTATTTTTGTTCGTTTTCAGGTTTTTAGAAGCAGCTGCTGACATGTCAGGATTAGATTTTTCCACCAAATCGGTCTGATTGCAGTCTGACCCTGTTTCTGCTTTCACGGGATGCTGAATGAATTTAATTTCCTTCGGCTCTGAGCAGAAAACGAGATGTGAAACACGTTAAAGGTTTTGTTCAGATCCGGTGAGAGGATGTTTGCACGTGTTTGTAGCATCTTTCTGCTCTTGGCTCCTTTTTTGAGTCTCAGTATTATTTAAAAAATGCATCCTCTAAAGGGACATTTCACTCAATTCTGTGTGAAAGTAAGAAAAATCCCTCCTGAACAGCCTCTGTTTGGAGAAATGGCTTAGTCAAAGTCAAAACAAGAATGGTTTAATTAGATCCAAATAAAAAAAGGGCATTAATTTTTTCTTTTATTGAGACTTAATAATGTGTGAATCAAAGAATTAAAACAATAATATTAAGGTAATTTCAATGAACTATAATTAACTTTAGTTCATGTCTTAAAAAATAACAGGATTACCATATTCTCCATCACAGCAGGTGAGCTGCTAACCAAAAGGTTGATTTAATTGTAAAATAAGCATAACCACAAACGGGCTTATAAACAAAACAATCAACCATCAGATCCTGGCTTTTCTGTTGTTACAGTAACGGTGAGCCGTTTCCTGCTCCTCCGCTGGAAGAAAGTGGAATTACAACTGTTGTAAACAACCCTGCAGCGCTAACAATTCAATTCAATTCAAGTTTATTTATATAGCGCCAAATTACGACAAGAGTCGTCTCAAGGCACTTCACATAATAAAAATTCCAATTCAGGTCAGTTCATTAAGCCAATCAGAAATAATGTTTCCTATATAAGGAACCCAGCAAATTGCATCAAGTCACTGACTAGTGTCAGTGACTATACAGCAGTCCTCATACTAAGCAAGCATGCAGCGACAGTGGAGAGGAAAACTCCCTTTTAACAGGAAGAAACCTCCAGAGAATCCTGGCTCAGTATAAGCAGCCATCCTCCACGACTCACTGGAGCTAACACTAACAAGAGCTAACTAATACTAAAATAAACCACTAAGTTAAAAGATCCACACAAACATTATTACTTACAAGTCTGGTAGCAACAAAGCCAGGTCACCATCAGTCTGTGATCTCGTCTCCTCTTTTTGCTCTATCAGACTAGCGTAGGCTAAAGTTTAGCCAGGCTTAGCTCCTCACCTCCAAAGACATTTCTCTCTGACTTTTACTTCCAGGCTCAGCCATGATGCCAACAGAAAAAGCTATTTTTTTCTTTCTTCTTCTTCTGTTTTGATGAACAGAAAATTTTCTACTAAAACAAGTACTTCAGTATTTCTTAAATAAAATTCTGCTGGTTTAATGAATTGCTGAGGCAGCAAAAAGTTGTTTCTATGAACGGAGGCTGTTCAGTAACAACAGGTAGGACATTTATAAAATAGGTGGAAAAATCAGTGAGACATCACATCAAATCAGCAACGGTGTTTCACGTTGTTTTGTTAATCAGAACAGAACCAAACTGACCGTAAACATTAGGAGGTGTTTAACCTGAAAGTGTTCACACCGCAGCAGCCGTGACACGAGTCACATGTCCGCTCTCTTCCTCCCGGGCAGCGCGTGTTTCCAGACAAGCTGTCGAGGTGCTGGTGGCTGCCGGCGGTGTCCGAGGCGGTGGTTAAACAGCCGTGTGTGCGCCTCCCGCTGGCCGCCGTCACAACTGCGGTCATCATCATCATGGCTTTGTTCAACCTGGTGAGACTCGAACATCTCCCTGCCCCGCGATGGTTCTCGTTGCTTTTTCTGACCTTTTGAATTCACTTTTCAGTGTTTTGTGAAGGAGGAAGGCGTGGGCGACTTCCTCTGCCTGCCTGTGAGTTGGTAACTGTAGAACATCTCAAACATTTGCTGATGGTGTAGAAGAACAGAGAACACCAATAACCCAAATGCTGAGATGAGTGTTTGTAGAGAAATGAATCCCTAAACTGAATCAGTAACTTCTGTGTTCGTCTCGCTTCCGCTCTGCTCCTCAGTACTCCATCCTCTGCTGCATCCTCTCACTCATCGCGTGTGGAGTGTTCCTCCGGCTGAGCTTTGAGCTGAAGCTGCTCTTCCTCTCCGTGGCGACCCTCACGTACATCATCATCCTCGTTGGCAACAATGCCTTCAAGCCCTACGACAGGTTCCTGGATCTTCAGATAAACAGCAGCTTAAACTGCAGCAGGTAGGACCGACGCACGCACGCACGCTCACCTCAGCATGTCGATCCGTGGTGCTGAAAGTTCTAGACAGTGGGTTACCCCGACCGAGCCGAAGCTGCATAACTTCCTGTTAGTTTGTCCTTGTAGAACGTACTACTTGGACCAATCCTCAGAACGCTTAGAGAGGTGCTCAGTGAAAATCTTAGAAGACTTAGACAAGTTAAAAAGTCTTTCTGAGACGCCAGTAAAGGTTATTCAGATGTCCTCACTCTGCCAGAAGACACAGTCAGTTGTTCAGGAACACCACAGGAACCCCTAAAAGTGAAGCCCACCATGATCTGGAAGCTGCTGCATCACCTGAGTTCAGTTACTGAGAGGACCAAGCTCCTCCCCCAAACTGGAATTAAATCTGCAGCTGTTCACACGGGCGAGACAAATGTCTTCTGGAAAAACGTCAATGGACCAATGAGACCAAGGTTGAGCTGTTGGGATGGTTTGAAGGAGCTGAACCTGAACCATCAGTCAACCACGGAGGTGGTTCCAGAGCACAAAGTCCTCCAACCAAACCAGTTAAGAGCTTCAGGAACAACCTTCACTAATCTCTGATGTCAACAACCATCCGTCCAATCTCTCCTGCTCATCCGAGGTCGGGTCGCGGGGTCAGCAGCCTAAGCAGGGAGGCCCAGACTTCCCTCTCCCCAGCCGCTTGGGCCAGCTCCTCTGGGGGAATCCCAAGACGTTCCCTGTCCAGCTGACTGACGTAGTCCCTGCAGTATGTCCTGGGTCTCCCCTTAGGTCTCCCCTCGGCTGGACGTGCTTGGAAAACCTCACCAGGGAGGCGTCCCAACCAGATGTCTGAGCCACCTCAACTGAAAGCAAACAAACAAATTTACAATACCTCCACAAATTATTTCTAGAAGAGATCAAACTTGAGCCAGAATTCTATCAGGAGACGTTTCTGGGGGATATTTAATCTAATCTAAGTGGGTACGGTGCTTTTTACTTTCCTCTGTTTAAACTGAAACTTCCTGTTTGTTTCTTCAGTTCAAACCAATCCACGAAAATCCTGGAGTGCATCGGTCTGATTAAAGATCCCACGGTGACGAGCTGCCTCTACATCGCTCTGTTCCTGCTCACCATGCTCATCATTTCCCAGCAGGTCAGCGTCACCCTCCCTCCCTCCCTCCCTTATCTCTCCCCCCTCCCCCGACCTCACTCTGCCTCTGCCCCCAGAACGAGAAGTGCTTTCGGCAGGACTTCCTACTGAAGTACAAGAACCGCACGGAGCAGGACGAGATCGAGACGAGGGAGAACCTGAACCGTCTGCTGCTGGAGAACGTGCTGCCCGCTCATGTGGCTTCGCTCTTCGTTGGGGAGAATAAGAAGAACGAGGTGTGATTTCTGTAGGCTGACATGCATGTTTTATGGGGACGCTCAAACGTTACTGAGCCAAGATCATCTGCAACAGCTTTGTGACAACTGAGAGGTTTGTCTCAGACATTCTTCAAAACGTGATCAGAAATGGTGACAAAGTAGTTTCAAGATGCGGTCCTGACAGTCTTACAGCAGGATCAGTCATAAAAGGAAATCATCTGAGGTCCAACCCCCTTTCTTCTGGCTCCGCCCCCTAGGCTGTGACTCCAGATTACAGGAGAACGCTGTACAAAATGAATAAAAACATTAAACCTTCCTAACCTAACGCTCCTACTTAACCGCAGAGCATCTTGGCATGCTAGCTAATGTAGCTAGCCTGGCTTTGGCTTCGCTTCCTGTTCAGCTGCTCCAAGCTGCGAATGCACGACTCAGAGGGGAGTTTGATGTGAGGACCAGGACGTCCCCTTCTTAATGATTGGATGAAGCTTTTTGTACGTTTAATCATTCATTTTTTTGACAAACCTTTAATTCATTAGTTACATATGTATGAGAAGAGCACTTCATGCAACTAGTCAAGAACATCGACATATAAATATTGGACAATGGGTTTCCATAGACTCCAATAACACGTTTTTGAAGAAAAATGGGAGGTGGCCACCACCGCCATTTTGACTGTGTCACAGGTTCTGTCAAGCCCAAACAATTCCACAAAAGGGAAGAGAGGCGGAGCTGAGGGTGGGGCTGTAGGGCTGGGATCAACTGACGACACCCGGTCGAACTAGCTACAAGCTAACCTGAAGCTAACGCTGAGGTGGGAGCTAAGCTAACGGAGGTAGCAACCTAGCTACAACTGGAGTTAACTGTGCACAACACCAGAGCTTCTGAGTCAGAGATACGCTGGGCTGACCGCCGGGTAAAACCGGGTGGAACACAGAGATCTCCCGAGAGCTCCACAAGCCGATAGTGGGAACCCAGCTCCACCAACATGTTATATTTCAACCCATTATCTAAAGTGCAGCATTATGTTAAATGCACTGGGTTTTACCCTATTACATTTAAATTTCATGGTTAAACAGTACATGTTAAAATCTAAGCTCAGCTCGGCAGTGACCTAAAATACATAAATATAATTTTACTTACCGAAAAAAAATGAAGTGGAGACTCCTTGGCTGCTCTATTAGTGCAATTAATGCCACAGCAAGTCATTTTGTCCAACAATTGCACAAAAATATCCAAACAGAACGCACAAACGCTACAACTAATGGTCTAAGGTGAGAGACTGAAAATGACGGAACAGTTTTAAGGCGAGGCCGAGGCTCTACTGAGGCCTTTCCATGGAGCTAGCTCTGCGGTCACGTGGGTCTGATGCTCATTAATTATACAGATTTTTAGGCTTTTAATACATTTAAACAGAAGAGTGAGAAAAAAAATTCACCCCCCTCAGAGTTGTCATGAGTGTAAACTAGATCATTTAAACCTAAAACATGTTTTGGTACCAGGCTTTAAACATGTTTATTTCTGCTGTGAAATTGGTATTTTTAACATGGGAGTCAATGAGAATTTGCTCGCTTCTGACACCAGCCCCCAGTGGATGAGGGTGGAACTGCAATTTATTTCACTTCTGCGTTTGCCTCAATTTTTCCCCCGCATTGTGGGGGCTTGGTCAAGAAGCATCTCCTTCTGCACCCTTAAGAAGCTTTAATTGTATTTTTTCTGATTGAAGTCATGCCGTATCGTCTGTTATAAACGAACTTGTAGCATCTGTGTTTGGATATTTGAGTTAATCTTTTCTCCTCCTTTCTGTCTCAACAGGACCTCTACTATAAGTCCTATGACTGTGTGTGTGTGATGTTTGCCTCAGTGCCAGATTTCAAAGAGTTTTACACCGAGTGTGATATTAACAAGGAGGGCCTGGAATGTCTGAGGCTGCTCAATGAGATCATCGCCGACTTTGACGAGGTCAGAAGTTCAGGAAGGATTCATCCGTCTGTTCCTCAGCAAACACGTCCGGTCCCATTCCTCAGATTGTTTCTCCTCTCGCCTCACAGCTGCTGTCCAAGCCAAAGTTCAGCGGCGTGGAGAAGATCAAGACCATCGGCAGCACGTACATGGCAGCGGCAGGACTCAGCGGGACGCCCGGTCAGGAGAACAATCAGGTGGGCGGGGTCGCGCCGAGGTCGCCAGCTGATTCGCAGCAGATCACACTTGAACTGCTGTTGACTTCTGGGTGTTTTCAGGACAAGGAGCGGCAGCAGGCCCAGATCGGGATCATGGTGGAGTTCGCCATCGCCATGGTCGGCAAGTTGGACGGCATCAACAGACATTCCTTCAACAGCTTCAGGCTCCGCGTGGGTGAGTGTTAAGAACCGAAACCTCTCGCTGCCCCGGCTGTTACGGCGGGAGCAAACATACCACGAGTCTCCCGGGTTTCTTCGTATGGAATCGGCATTCACGAGGACCACCTGAGTGCAAGGGCGCCCCCAAGGGGTGGCCACGACCACCCCTAGAAAATTGCTGCCCCCCCCCAAGGAAAAGCCTGTGTTAACAAATCATATTAATGTTCAGTCAAACCATGTATTGATCTTGTAAATTCAAGACATAATTGTAAAACAAAATAAAAATATTACAGTTAATGAAATAATCGGAATAAAATAAATAAATACGTTTCTGCTGCTCACCGTTAAAAAAAAGTTTTTATCTCCATAGTTGTTTTTTTTTACCCAGCAACAGGTGAATTAACCTAAAAACAATACATTTTAAAATTAAATTAGGGATAACGTTTTAAATAGCTGAAATGTTTTGGGTACTTACGGTTATTTTAATCAAAACAAATAAAGGCGCGATGCAGCACAACGCCGCAGGCTAAATTCTCCCCGAGTACCACAAGGACCAATTTGGTGTTCCATCCCAAACATTTCTTTGGCCCCCATCCGGCCACCCTCATCAAAATTTTCTGGAGGCTCCCCTGTCTGAGTGGTGGTGTTCACGGGACCCGGTTATGATGTCACAGCCTGTCGGCGGCTAGAAAAGCCCCACCAACTTTGCAAAAACATACGTCGTCGCCTTCTTACCAGTTTTAAAAAAACTAAGTAAAAAAACATTTAAATAAAATATAAAACAAACATTTATTCAAAAAATGAGCTTCCTGCATCGGCTGCATAACAATCCAAGCTGAGATGAGTAAAGAACCAGGATTTGGGCTGTTAGGGTTACCATGGTTACACCACACACTTCCTCCTTTGTGTGCTGTAGGGAGAAAGTAATGAAATATTCTAACATTAAGGGAATAAAAACTGATTCTTTTTATAGAAATATTAATAGTATTTTCAATATTTTAGAGCTTTTATTGCAAATAAAGTTTCTCTGCTGTTTTCTTGCTGCAGACGTGAAGGGGTTAACGCCTGGAGTCTTTGGTTTTTTCACACTTTACGGTTAATTTGATATTTTCTGTTAAATATTATTTTTAATTATCTGCCTTGTTTTTTTCCCACTGCAGGAATCAACCACGGCCCGGTGATAGCCGGCGTGATCGGAGCGAGGAAACCCCAGTACGACATCTGGGGGAACACGGTGAATGTCGCCAGCAGGATGGAAAGCACCGGGGAGCTGGGAAAGATCCAGGTACGGTCGGAACAAGCATGGGTGCCGACATCACGCCTCAGGTGCGGTTCGGAAACAGGTCTTTGCTCCCGTTCCAGGTGACGGAGGAAACGTCGGGCGTGCTGCAGAGGCTGGGCTACTTCTGCGACTGCCGAGGACTCATCAACGTGAAGGGGAAGGGGGAGCTGAAGACCTTCTTCGTCTGCACCGACATGAGCAAACAGCTGGGTTTGGGTCATAGCTGAGGCCGGCCCGTCAGCGCACAAGACTCAGGTCAGAGTTTACAGACTCCTGCTGCCACAACTCAGCTGTTACCGTGGCGACACTGAAAGGAAAAGGATTTAGAGGAACTGCTTCTTCACCGCGGGTCGGACCCGGAGACTGTGGGTTTGTACGATCACCGGAGACGTCTTGGAGTGTCTTAATGTAAACAGCTTCATGTGTTAATGCCAAGTTAAAAGGGATTTATGAAGAAAAACACGAGGATTAAATTCTAGAGGTTTTAAATCCGACTGGAAGGAGCTGAACCGTTTAATCCCACTTGAATTTTGTGCCTTTTTGTTGTGAATTAGAAACTTTCCTTTAAAAAGCACGTTTAATTCTGAAGGTGTGGCAGGAGCGTCCGTCCACATCTAGCAAAGATCCAGATGCTGTTCCACGTTTTAAAGTCACGTTAGGTTCACGTGGAACTTTTTAGACGGCCCGTGTCGGTTCTGGTGGTGCCGTCGGGTTTTTATAATCATCCAAATATTAAATGACTAAAAAGCAGATTTATCAGGAGGAGGGTGAGTTTATGTCCATCTGCTTATATGTGCTGTGGGGGGGGGGGGGGGGGGGGGCTGTTCTGATGCATGTGATGGATGTTCTCACCATCTTTATCGTCTGAGACAACAGCTCGTCTGTAACCATGGTTACGTAATATTTTACTGGCCTTTATGTGGGAAAAATGTGACATTGACTTTTGTACAAATGCAGATGTAATAAATGTTTCTTAGTTCTACCAGAATCGAGGCTTATGTAAAAAAAAAAATGTTTATTGACTCAGATTCACAGAAAACACACACTTTGTACAAAAGTTCAGTTCAGGAACCGAACGTGGAAGTTTGGAATTTCATTTCACAGCGACGAACGGACAGGATGGGAGCGTCTCCATCGGTTCACTGGCATCCTGCACTGAGAAACGGAGAAAACCTGATGAAGCAGCAGAACTTCGGCCGAAGCGGACGCCACTCATGGAGTAAAGAGGAGATTTACCGGCCGTGAGGTCGATGAGGGGCTCTGACAGCGCCGGAAGTGCAGCTATGCCCATGGCCTTCCTAATGCTGGCAACGCTGCTGACGTCACACGGAGCTACCTGACCCGTCAGCTCCGTCAGGTTCCCCATCACCTTCTCCGCTGCAGCACAACAAACGGGAATGTTTTATACAACAGATGAGTTAAAAAGATGCCGTTTCCAGGAACTGGGTCACTTCCTCTTAAAGAAGCTGACTTTAACGCAGCTGAGACTCATCAGCTGATCTGAGCTCCACAAGAGGATGAATGAGTTTCATCTGCAAAACCTGAATTATGAAAACAGCACTGATGACATCAGAGCTAATAAGCCACGGGAACTAAAGGTTGGTTTATGCTTGACGCATAGTTTCCATCTAACCTGTTAATAGCTTCCTGAACAGCCTTAGTTTGGAGAACAGAACTCAGAGTGAGGAGCTAACTGCTAGGCTGAGTGCAACCTTAAAATGACTCAAATTCTCCTAAAGGTTGGTTTATGCTTGACAGGTCCGCACGGCTCAATTGCGTCATTTTAACAACCACGCCCCTCCACCGCGCGGCCCAAAATTTCCGCACCGCACACCTAGGAAAATTTCTAACCACGCGGACGGTCGGACGCAGAAAAACATGGCGGACTGGCAAGAACTAGTACGGCAGAGGTTCGTAAATACAGACATTTGTATGATTCAGCTCTCAGAGATCACCGTGATCAACATGTTGTTAATAATTCTTGGAGAGAAATAGCTCGCACTGTCGGAAAAGACGAGGACGCTGTTAAAAATGCTGGAATGCCATGTTGTAAACAACAGTAAATTTTACTTCTACTATGGCAGGGGCGGGCAATCCTGGTCCTCGAGGGCCATTATCCCACATGTTTTACTGTTTCCCCTGTTTCAACACACCTGATTTCAATCAGCAGGAGATTAGCTGGCTTCTGCAGCTTGATGAGCTGCTGAATCAACTGTGTTGGAACTGGGAAATAACAAAAAGATGGAGGATACCGGCCCTCGAGGACTGGAGTTGCCCGCCCCTGCACTATGGTATAGTGTTGGATGCATGCCGTAGAGCTCCATGCTGCCCCTACAGTTTGGGAGAATATTGGCTCACCGCAGAGACAAGCCGCATGAACCATAAACGCTGCAAGTTGTGAAGTGCGTTCCATCCGCGAGCCGCATCACCAAGCAGAAAGTGAATGCGTCAAGCATAAACCAAGCTTCAAGCCTCATTGATCTGAAGCCAAGCCACACCTGTATGATCTAAATGCTGCTGGGGGGTCTACAGCTGAGGTCACTTACCCAGCTCCAGCTCCTTGGCAGTGGGGGCCAGCAGGCAGATCATGTTAGGAGGCTGTTTGGTGCTCAGGCGCTCCCTCTGAGCGTCCTGCAGGTCTCGTAGGAGCTTTGTGGTCTCATCTAACTTCTTCTGGAAGTGTAGAGCCTCTGTAACACACACACACACACACACACACACACACACACACACACACACACACACACACACACACACACACACACACACACACACACACACACACACACACACACACACACACACACACACACACACACACACAGCTGAAAGTGATGAACGAGGATCTGAAAAGGGGGAAATATTTAACAGTAACACCAACTGACCATTTTATTAGGAACAGGTCGTACCAAGACCCTTAAAAGTCTAGACTAAATGCTGCCACCTGATTGGCTGATTACAGATTTGAGTTAGTCACTCAACAGCTGTACCTAATGAAGTGGCCAGTGAGTCTTTTCACCTTATGTAAAACAAAATTCAACACGAGCAACAAAAAGACCTTTTCTCAAACTGAAACATCAAATGTGAAACGGGTCGGTACCTCCAGAGGAATCTGGACCGGCAGCAGAACACTGGAGGTCAGGCCTGCTGGACGAGTCGGGTTCTGCTGCCTAAAGGAAACGAGAAGTTGGTGAGAGGTCTGATTCAGAAGCTGCCTCCAGGAGGGGGGGTGGGGGGGCTGAACACAAGCACGGTTCTGTCTGCTGCACCTCGAAGGGAAAAGCTGTTTCTGTGCACGAGTGGATCAACCCTCAGGCCCCCCAACCCCCGCTCTGTTGACACAGCTGGCTGAGGCGTGACGTAGGAACTCATGACGGGATTTCCACAGCTGGTCACAGACTCACCTCTGCGTCGCACTTTTCCTCGACTGCAGGCTTCTCTGGCTGCTGGACGAGGAAACAAAAACACTTTTAGGATGTGAGAGGACATTTTTTCCGTTGGGCGTCGTCGTGTGAGCTCACCGCCTCGGCCTCTTTCAGGCTTCTGGAGTGTTCCCCGTTGGTCAGAGCGTCCAGGAGATTGTCTGCCTGCTTGTAGACGTACTCGTCTGATTTGGAGAGGAACTCCGACAAGCTGCCAAACACGCGATAACGAGCTGTTAGACGTAACCGAGTCGTTCAGCGGTGAAGGTGCCGGGCTCTAATCCGCCCCGAGAACCAAATCATTTACAGTGATTTATCACCGTCTCAGTGGCTTAGTGGTACGAGCGTCAGCCGGAGACCGGGGGGTCGTGGGTTCAAACTAACTTCACCAGTGTGTGTGTGTGCGAGAGTGTGCGAGTGTCTGTGCAAGAGTGCGTGTGTGCGCGAGTGTGTGTGTGCGTGCGTGTGTGCGAGAGCGTGTGTGTGCGTGTGCGCGAGTGTGAGTGAGTGCGTGCGTGTGTGTGCGAAAGTGTGTGTGTGTGTGTGTGTGTGTGTGTGAGAGAGAGAGTGTGTGCGAATGTGTGTGTGTGTGTGTGTGTGTGTGTGTGTGTGAGAGAGTGTGTGCGAATGTGTGTGCGCGTGCGAGTGTGTAAGAGTGTGTGCGAGTGTGTGCGTGCGTGAGAGTGTGTAAGAGTGTGTGCGAGTGTGTGTGTGTGTGTGTGTGAGAGAGTGTGTGCGAATGTGTGTGTGTGTGCGAGTGTGTGTGTGCGCGTGCGAGTGTGTAAGAGTGTGTGCGAGTGTGTGCGTGCGTGCGAGTGTGTAAGAGTGTGTGCGAGTGTGTGCGTGCGTGAGAGTGTGTAAGAGTGTGTGTGTGTGTGTGTGTGTGTGTGTGTGAGACAGCTGATGGGACTTGAATCTTTTTTTGGTGAACAAGATAAAAACGCTTCTGCTGGGGCGGGGTCACACACACACACCGGGTCACAGAGTTAGCGTCTTCAGAAACGCCTCCGAAGATCCAAACTCTCCTCCCGTCACGCTGCATCCCATAATATTATCTAGCTCAACTTAGACCTGATCTTATTATTTGACTACATCGTATTTCTAGAGAACGAATATTCAAAAGCAACATTTTTTCAGTTTCTGTAAAAACTGAGGTTCCTTTCAGGTTCTGCAGAACTTTAACTTTAACTCTTGTGAGGAAATCTGGTTAAAACCAGACTAGAAAAGTGGTTTTGGAGCCGAGAGCTGAGCGCGGTTTTCACCCTTCAAGGCACAAACAACATCTGCAGATCTTTGCTGCTAAAGCTGGGTGGTTTTGTTTGAGGGCCTGAAAACAGAGTAAGAACATCTGGACGGTAATCGTGACACAGACTCCTCAGGGGAGTTCTGGTTCTGCTGAGCCGACCTGTCTGAGCCCTGCAGACTGGACTCCTCTCCATAGAAGGTGTAGATGAGGTCAGAGTCGTCCTTGCTGATGTTGGAGAAGCTGGAGTCGTAGGTGGGGGCGTAGGAGGAGAAGGGCCCGTAGCTGATGTAGGACACTGGGGGAGGGAGAAAAGCTGAGTCAGCGTTTTTTTATCCGAGTTTAGAAACGAGGAGAAATCCGCTCCGGACCTGGAGTCACCCGGTTCCTCTTGTCCTCCCTGAAGTTCTGCAGCGTGTTCACGCCACTCTGCAGCCGGTTGGACATCATGCCCAGCTTCACGGGACAGTAACCAGCATCTGCAACCACAAACACCCGGCCGCTCAGGCAACGTGCTCAAAAACACGCAATAAGGAGCTGAAGCGCTGTAAACGGGGACCTACCGCCTGGGGACGGGTCTGCTGGGTTCAGAAAGCCCAACGTGGTGGAGCCGTTCGACTTCCGCCTCATAAACTCCAACTGGAAAATGAAAGAATCGTTTTCTTAAACAAGACTTCCTGTGATGGATTTCAGAGTTTTCCACTCAGTCCTAAAACTTCCTACGGGACTGGAAAACCCGGTTTGTCTTTTTAGCGGATCGCTCTCCCGGAATCGCCGTGTTCCAGTAAAAATCAGGTTTTATTTGCCAAACTGTGTCACGCTTTGGGTTTTTCATACATTCAGATAAATAATTTGGCCTTTTTGTGACAAACTGCAAGTGACTAACGATCCAGTTTAAACTGGTTCTTTGCTACCCAACTGGTTTCCCTGGGGTTTAAAGAGCAAGTCACCCCCAACCAGAGTATAACTCCACTCCCACTTCCTGTTTGACAAATGCTGTTGCCTAGCAGAGTGAGAGGGCGGAGCCGCTAACAAATACACACAGGCTCACGACATTGTGACATCATATGGTACCAGCTAACATTCAAAACGCCTTTTTATGTCCGAGTGGTTCTAAGGTCAGAGTGGAGTGGCTAAGAAGACAAAAATGAACTGAAAACTAATAAAATAATCAGCAGAGAAACCTGAGAAACGACAGTTTGGTTCTTTGAAAGAGTAAAAAACAACGTTTGATCCTCATTTAGGTTCCAATTCGGTTAAAAGTGTAAATCTGAGAAGTGGCGTTTGGATCCACGGATTAGAAAAACAACTCCTCACATCACACTGCAGCACTCGGTTGGACAGCTTCCCTCCAGACTCCTCCATGACCTTGCAGATTTCCTCCAGCTCTTTCTCAGCTTTCACCGCTTCGTCCTTGGCGTCTTTGTCCTGCCTGCAACAGAAACAGATTCAAAAGGGATGAGACGCTTTGGCCGTGAACCAAAATATTTTATTACCCAGCAACATAAAACTCCTGCGTTCTCTTTTCTCTCCACGTCCACTCCGGATGTTTGCTGACGTCAACAGAAACAAGTTTATTCAGGCTGTTCCTGCGAGTCTTTGAGCAACACGCCGTGATGAAAACAAAACAGATAAAAAAAAAAAGATGCACAACCCCGAGAGGAAACGAGTCCCAGCTTGTCAGGAATTCCTCACATTCCCAGCTCTGAGGTGGAAAACCAACACACACGGAGTCCAGCTCAGAGGAGACGCAACAGAGTGGGAAACTGTCCTCATCTACGTCCCACGTGTGGCGTCTGACTCGTTTTCTCAGCTTTCCGGTGAAACCTGCTGACGCTTCAGCCTCCACTGCTGACTCAGACACACAGGAAGGTTTCACGGTAAAGACAGAAACGGGAGCATCAGAGGGATGAAGCACCTTGGAGTTCCGGGTGTCTGTGAGCGATCGCCGGCCTCGGTGCTCACGGGTCCCTCTTTGTTCCGGTCCAGGCCGCCGCCCCCGTGTTCCTCTGACTTCAGCGGCGGCTGGGCAGACGGGTCGAGGCTGGACATGAAGTCTATGCTCTGCTTCAGGCTGTCCAGCCGCTCCTAATTGGCAAAACACAAGATTCATTTATCCTTCAGGAAGAAAAGCACAAAAAGTGAAGAGAGGCCCGAGAGGCCAGTTTGGTGCTCTCTGCTGCCCCCGCCTGTTGGACGTTTACAAAAACACGTCTTATAAATGTGGATTTATGATGGCTTGTGTCTGAAAACATCACGTCGACTGGTCCAGAAACCCGGATAAAGGGCAGCGTTTAGAAATCACAAACCATGTGAAACTATGTCAAAGTGTAAAGAGAATAAATGTGACGATGTGCAGCAGAAGGTGGCTCCATAAGAACAGCTCTCCACATCTGGGAGTAAATCTCAGTTCCACATAAAACCAAGTCACCCCCAAATCAACTTTTTTCCTGATAAACTATATAAATGTGTGTCTAATCGTGCTGCAGACACGTGTAGTCAATAGTTTTGTACTTTAGTGCATTTTAGTTAAAAATTTAATTTTCTGCCTAAAACTGTCAGTGTTGTGCCGTCGTCAGGTAAAAACTCTGCACTGCGTTTGAATTTAAATCTGCCATCGCTATTGGCTAAGAGGTACTCTAGAATGTTAGCTGGTACCATATGATGTCACAATGTCGTTGTGAGCCTGTGTGTGTGTATTTGTTAGTGGCTCCGCCCTCTCGGTCTGCTAGGCAACAGCATTTGTTGCATTTTTCAAACAGGAAGTGGGAGTGGAGTAATACTCTGGTAGGGGGTGACTTGCTCTTTAATCAGAAAAGAAATACAGTTTCAGATAGAGCTGAGAAAAATAATCAAATAATCGAAGCTAAACGGGCGTAAACGATTCTGCATCGTAGAAGAGAACGCCATCATCAATTATAGAGGAACGTAGGTTTTTTTTGTTAATGGCGGCACCAGCGTAGCATCCAAATCTGTCAGAGTGGGTGTCCTCCACATTCACAGAGTAGGAAATACTGGTCCACCTTTACGTGGTGCTGCAGGGCCGAGCGCTGGAGTTGGACCCTGAGACCGGACCAGAGCCGAGTCAGCCCGACCGGTTCAGTCGGACAGAGTGTTGTGATGTCGGGAGATCCGGTCTTGGGTAGGGGGCGGGGATGGGTGCAGCATAATCATCTGTCTCTTTTATTTAGGGACACTGAGAAGTTAAAAAGTAGAGAAATAGAAGATAGAAGTTCTTGTTCCACTTAATTCTTTAGTTTCATGATGATAAACTGATGTTAAATTCAGCTTACAGAAAAACTGGAGGGAGCTTTGGTTCATTTTAAGTTACAGAAGATCTTGTTTCCTATCTGCTCCTCCTCCAGAGAGAGCGTGGACATGAGGAGATAATAAAGGTCCCACAGGACGAGTTTCTAGTTAGCTGGTTAGTGAAGGAGATTTAATCCTAATCCAGCCCACAGCCTCCTAATGGCATTATCAGCAAGAACTAAACAAACATCTAAAATATTAGTGGAAGTTTAGGATTTTCTAACTCATTCGCTGCCAGCGTTTCTCACCGTTTTCACTGTTTTTTTAACAGTGACAGAACGTTGCGCGCTAGGATGATGTCGACGCCAAAACAAAGCGGAGACTCACCTCTTACATCAGGAAGAATCCGCGCGTTTCGAGCGTTATCCGTTCTTTCATAATCCGTTGTTGAATTGTGATCGGCAGAAGCTTTTCCGGTTCGCGCCTCACTTTTTTTTACAGCAGCGGCCCAAAACGATCTCCTAACACATGGATGTTCTGCTTCCTGATCACGTGACGTGTGACGTACGCGGATGAAGATCGGCTTCAGAGCTGAGATGTTTGTTGTCACGGTGCGGGGGCTCGTCCGACGCCCACACAGTAAAAAACATGCAAATGACGACTTTAGTTGTCATTGGCAGTGAATGAGTTAAATGTTTTTTTTTTATGAATTAGGGTTACGGATTCATTTTCCAGCATTTCAGAAATGAGACCACTGGATTCAAATAAAATAAACTAAGTGAAACATTTCATTTGGTGTTATTTCTTACATCCTTGAACTGTGGCATAAATGTCTGACTCTAAAGCTGCTCAAAGACATAAAAAACTAACATATGGACTCAAGGCAAGAGCTGGACACGTCCTATAGGTTTTTAGTATATTTTCTGATTTTTGAGCATTTGAAAAGCATGTTTTTCTCAGCCTGAGATGTGACTGTTGAATGAGGAAACAGATTTTTTTTTGTTAAACCTTCTTAAATGTTTTGCACTTTTACATTGTCCTAAGGGCTGTTGTGAATGGAGAGCTTTTGGGGGATGGCAGGTTATCCGTGAAAACACATCCATGTGAAATTATCAGGATATCGAATCGAAGACCTTATAATCATAATCAAATCGAATTGGGAGACAAGTGGAGATTCACACCTCTAGTTTTATCCTGTTTTCACGAACTGCTTCTTTGTTTTGTAAAACAATAGAATAAGCGTACTTATAATTTATCCCAGCCATTCAACGCCACAGCAGACGTACAGGAGGTGAGGATTTGCGTACTTTTTAATACAAAATAAAAACTGCCCCAAATCCTCTGCTCCTTACCGGACTGAGGACCTTCATCCCAGAGTGTAGCAGTTTTCGAGCTGCTTTATGGTAGATCGTCTCAGGTTTGTTATAAATCATGGCGTTCTCACACATAATCCTGAAATCCATCTGTGAAAAAAAAAGATTAAAATGTGAAACACTCATGACCTCACACACAACCAGGAAAGAAGCATTGGAAATTTCACTTTCAGACGAATAGGAGCTGCAGGTTCTGGTTACTGTGGTGCATCAAACTGTTTTAAATGTCTACAAGTTATGATATGTGTACCTTCAGTTCATCTAATGACTGGTAGCAATCTTTCTTCACTTTCTCCTTCATTGTACTGAAGTCCATTGGTCGTCTGATAACTAAAGAGTAGCCGGGTGCGATGAGATCTGTCACTGGAAACGAGAAGAAGGCGTTGGGGTCTTTCCTGCAACGGATGGAGAGAGTGTCGACTTTCGTAAATTCTCAATGAAACATCTGAAAAACATCCAAATTATTTAGTCTGAAGTTATGAACTACACCGTTGAAGCTGCCTGATCAGCTGATTCAACGCTTCCTGCAGAGGCGTCTGCTCTTTTACTGCCAAAGGAATAAAAAAAATAAATCAGAACAAAATAAAAAATAAAGCCTTAAAAATAAAATCTGACTCCGATATATTTAAAACTACCTTCCAGTTTGTCCAGCTCTGAGCGGATTGGAGTTCTGCTGTGCTCTTCCTCTGCATCCTGATCTTTCTTCTTTTTAGTCATCTAACATATTAAACGTGACTTGATCGTTATTAACCTAAAACACGTTACTGTCATCAGTAAAAGGACTCTTGTCATTCTTTTTTAATTACCTTTTTCTTCCCTTTTTCTTCCTCTGGAGACCCAAAGCTTCTTTCTTTGTCCTTTTTCTTTTTCTTCTTTTTATCTTTGGGTTTATCTCCGTCAGGCTGCTCATCATAAAAAGTGTCTAAACTGGAGCTTCCTGTCGTCACTTCATTTCCGGACACCTTCAGCACCAGCTTGAGCGGTCGGTCTCCGTAATCTGAGAGCACCAGGTAAAAATCAACGAGATAGCAGGGATTAGCGGTTACAGCTCAGGGCCAGAAGCTAACGCGCGGTTTTAACACAAGTTATCCGTTTACTGTTTTCACGTCATTAACCGCATCTCCGAACGATATGAATAAATGGGCACGAACAAGAAATACACACATATTAGTCCGACATCTAACAAAGCTGCGAGCTAGCTTCAAGCTAACTTTAGCATTGCTAATATCCAAGCAAATTTGCCAGACGTCGGTTTATTTATTTAAAAACAAACGACGGTGTAAGGACAGCAAATAATTACTTGTGTAAAGTGAAATACCTTCATATCCGTGTTTATCGAACTTGTGCTTTTTGTGCTTCTTTCCCATTGTTTGTTTTGATCAGACACCGGCTGCTAACACTCTCGGATTAATCAGTTACCGGAAGTAGCTCAGTGAGAGGAAATAGCGTACAGCGCCTCCTTCCGTTGGGGTGGCGGTATTACATAAACACACCGCCATGTTTTTACCATGAGGGGGCGAAGTAAGCTTTGTTTTCCTTAAAAAAAAATACTGAATATTCTTCAGTCGTGACCTACTCCCAGAAGAAGGCAAAATCCGTCATGTGTGGTATTGTAAATTTAAATTTAATGTCATTTAGATCTTAATTCTATATTATTTATTGTTCATAATAAGGAGGAAATCCAAAAAGTGGAAGAAAGCAAAACTCTGGGACTTACTTTAAGGTCCCCAACCTATAATCAAAGCACACATTAGGATAGTATCATAACTATTAAAACTGATCTTAGTTGCTGTTATAGATTAATGTTTGCTTGTGAAATCTTCTCAGACTCGTGCATTCACACCATTCCTAATGACTATCTAGGAACAAGCAAACCAATTAGGATTCATGTGTATAATACCATTAATGTAAAAACCCTTTTTGTTAAAAAAATAATAAACTGTAAAATACTGAAACTAATATGACAGTTTGATGATTATTATGTTATAAAATCAAATGTAACAGTAACAATATAAGTTTTAGTAAAATTGAGATTTTAGACATACCGTTTTTTGAAAATATATTTTCTTAGTTTATCAGCGAGCTCAGAGTGCATTATGAAAATATGTTAGATGGGTTTTCTATAACAAAATTAAAGGTGAAGTCTGAGATTTGTTTCTGGAACATTTTTTGCCATAATGCTTTTTCATATACCACGGGCAACCGATACATTAAATGTTTTGTCAAAAAGAATGAAGAAATTTTATCACCTCTGAAGCGTAAAATCCCGTAAAGACCTCATCCAAACCAGGGCTAACCCTCTAGCTACACTACTGGACCACAACCCATCCATCTGAACCTCTGTCACCCTGCTGTTAATAACACCGTCTCAGCGGTGCAGCTGAACAGGAACTGAAGCTAGCTGAACTGCCTTGTGTCACGGATGGAAAGCAGTGAGGAGTATCTGTTCAGAGTTGGCTCTGGAAATTTTGACCTCAGCAGCTCAGCAGAGCTGTGTGTTTGCTCCCCCTTGTGTGTGTGTGTGTGTGTGTCTGGGGGGGGGGGGGAGACAAGGACTGCAGAATCTTCTGACTTGTAGGAAGATGGAAAGTAAAATCCACTTTAGAGAATGGAATTATGTCTGTAGATGACCGGTGGCATGTAGGTCAATACGTAGGTGAAAACTGACCCTTTCTGGACGTTACAGCTGCAAATGTATTAAAATGAGTAAACATGACCTTTAAATTAGGGATGGACAATACATCTGCATCAAAATCGGTATCAGCCGATGTTAGTCATTTTTTTAACATATCTGTAACGGTTCGATAAATAAAACCAGGCCGAAATTAACAACCGATATTTTTTCCATCACGTCTCCATTTGTTTGCCTGTTTCAGAGGATGAGGGGGGTGATGTTGAATTGTTTAGTCATGTGAAGAGTGAATGAAATCATCTCAGAACCGAAAATGTGTGTGGTGTGTGTACATAACGTAAATTCAGCTCATTCTATACACAATCTGCTGATTTTAGAAGCATTAATGTCAGTATATCAGTATCGACAAATAGCGGTTATCGGCCATAACAGTGAGATTAATATCTGATATCGTATCGGCCATAACAGTGAGATTAATATCGGATATCGTATCGGCCATAACAGTGAGATTAATATCGGATATCGGTATCGGCCTGAAAATGTCTTATCAGTGCATCACTACTTTAAACGAAACCTTTCTACAGTATTTAACTGTAAACTTTACCTGACATCAGAAATAACTTATTTTTAAAGGGACTATATCATGCCATTTTACTCCTTCCAGCTCCTGCTACTCCTGCAACCTGACCTTGGGTACGTGGAAAAAGGTGGATAAATGAAAATCACACGTGATGAATTTGCAGATAAAGAATTGTGTCTGGAATTAACCTAAAGCTGCTGGTTCAAACTGGCTGTGACCCAGAATAATGTTGATAGTAGACTAAGATAAGGATACGAGAAGAAGCTGCAGTGTTTTCTGTGATGAAGGAGAGAAATCAGTGGACGGGAACAAAAAAGAAGTTATGGCCACGACTGAATTCTTCCAAACTTAAACTGAGTGACCTGGCTGAGTGATGACCAGAGAGTCACATCTATTTGTGTTCTGACTTGCAGCAAGCTCCTGAAAACTTTTCAGGGATGCAATAAAAGGTGTGAAATCAGCTTCAGGTGGCCTTCCCAGCATTCAGGGTTTTTCGTGGCTACCTGCGTCAAGTACATTCTGTAGCTTTCCTCCTGAAACTCGTCTAAATGAGCCAGACGGATCTCCAAAGGCAGGCAGATGACACACAGTTGGAGTCGTGCTTTACGGGACTCTGAAGAATCCGCCGTCCTCGCAGAGCTGGCATACTCCGTTAAATCGGCACATATTGTACTGTCTGATGAATGGCAGATGTTTTATTCATGGAGTAAAGATGGTGTACATTCACTGAAGCACATTCCAGGTTTTATGAAGAGGGCAAAAGGTTTGAAAGGAAAGAAGACTGACAGTGCAAATTCACCATTTCAGCCATTCCTGAGTTCAGATGAAAAGGTGTTTGAGCCTCTTATCTGAGCAAACCCATCCTCGTTAAATGATGTCATGAAATACCAGCACCACAGCATTCCTCATATCAGAATCGGAATCAGAAAAGGTTTACTGCCATTGTCAGTGAACAAACAATTCACAAACTAGGAACTTGCTTCGGTACTAATGTGCTACATATAACATGAATAATAAGATTAAAAATAGAATAAAATATAATAATAATAAAAAAAAACTAGGATAAAACTTTCAGCTATAAAAAAAAGGCAGGTAATGGTAACATGGCCGATAACGTGACGTTATGTCAAGTACAGAAGACGAGCATGGTTGTGTGTTTATAAGCTATTCACAAGTCTAACGGCAGATGGAAAGAAGCTGTTCTTATGGCGAGAGGTTCTGGTCCTGATGGACCGTAACCTCCTGCCTGAGGGAAGCGGCTCAAAAAGTCTGTGACCCGGGTGCAAAGGGTCAGCTGCTATCCGACCTGCACGCCCCCGAGTTCTGGAGACGTACAGGTCCTGGAGAGATGGAAGGCTGCAGCCAATCACCTTCTCAGCAGAGCGCACAATGCGCTGCAGTCTATGTTTGTCCCTCACTGTGGCTCCAGCGTACCACACAGCGATGGAGGAGGTGAGGATGGACTCAATGATGGCCGTGTAAAACTGCACCATCATCTGGGCCGGCAGCTCGGCCTTTTTCAACTGCCGCAGAAAGTACATCCTCTGCTGGGCCTTTTTGATCAGGGAGCTGATGGATGGTTCCCACCTAAGGTCCTGTGTGATGGTGGTTCCGAGGAAGCGGAAGGAGTCCACAGTGGTGACGGGGGTGTCCGTCAGGACGAGGGGGAGAGATGGGGCTGTGACTTTCCTGAAGTCCACAATCATCTCCACTGTCTTATGAGCATTGAGCTCCAGGATGTTGCTGCTGCACCAGTACACCAGCCGTTCCACCTCTCTCCTGTAGGCGGACTCATCACCGTCAGGGATGAGCCCGATGAGGGTGGTGTCGTCCGCAAACTTGATCAGTTTAACGGAGTCATGGCTCGAGGTGCAGCAGTTTGTGTACAGGGAGAAGAGCAGAGGAGAAAGTACACAGCCCTGTGGAGATCCTGTGCTAATTGTCTTAGTGGTGGAAACATTCTTCCCCAGCCGCACGCACTGCCTTCAGTCCGTCAGGAAGTCAGTGATCCACCTGCAGGTGGAGTTGGGTACGTTGAGCATGGAGAGCTTGTCCTGGAGCAGAGCAGGGAGGATGGTGTTGAACGCAGAGCTGAAGTCCACAAACAGGATCCTAGCGTAGGTTCCTGGGGAGTCCAGGTGCTGCAGGAAGAAGTGGAGGGCCAGGTTGATGACGTCGTCTACAGACCTATTAGCTCTGTTGGGCCTATGCACTCAGGATATCAGTCTGCTCGGACAAACACAGACCAATGCATTCCTATTTTTGGAACCAAAAAGTAAGAAAAAAAAAAAGAAACTTTTTGCCACTTCAGAACAAAAACAAACATTTGATAAAAGTGTTGAGGTCATTTGCTCTGTGGTCTGTTGAGTTGTGGATTCAGATATTCCTCTCCTCAGTGCTGATCCCAAAATACCTTTAGTTAGTTCAGGATCTGCCCTGCGATGGACTGGCTCTCTGTCCAGGGTGTACCCCGCCTGATTGCCCATTGACCGCTGGAGATAGGCACCAGCCCCCCCGCGACCCTACGTGGACAAAGCGGGTTCAGACAATGGATGGATGGTTCAGGATCTCCTCAAGTTTCTCCACCCAGTGCAGAGAGAGGCAACAAGAGGTATTCTATTCTGATGCCTGACCCACCACAGCTGAGCTCTACTCAGAGCTCCTCACTTTGTCCATGTCACGACCTGGTTATCTTCTGCAGAATCACCACCTTAAAGCAGTGGAGGGAGAGTATCCCCGTGATCTGGAGCATCAGTCCCTGGTTGATCTCCAAGGACAATTAAAAGTCACAGTAAACTGGTTACCTCACCTGAAAAGGGGAGCACGGAACACCCTCTTGGTGCTAAGCCTGGGTGGTAAAGCTACATCTGCACACGTGCTGGTGAAGGTTCTCGTCATCCAGGTCATGGTAATCTAAAAAGGTTCAAGACATTTCGCGTCTCATCCGAGGAGCTTTATCCAGTCTGACTGGAATATGGGAGAGTCAAGCTTACAACAACAGACAGCTACAGCTTATAAGCTCGACTCTCCCATATTCCAGTCAGAATTGACAAAGCTCCTCGGATAAGAAGCAAAACGTCTTCAAGAAACCAAAGAAGTCCAGTTGCCTTCATTTGAACCTTTAGAATTAAGTCTACACACCTAAAGCAGAAGTTAGTCACTGATGCAGCGCCACCCTCTCTGTCCGCCAGGCTACTGTGGGTGAGTGGTGGAGGCTTCACCTCTGCTGCCTCTGCCTCTACCCTCTGG